ACTCTGCCTTGATCATGTCTTGCGAATGGAAGAAAATTGTAAAGCTAGAAAGATTTTTGATGCGATATCCGCTGACGAAAAATGTGGTAGACACGTCCGCATCATCAGTGCAAAGACCAGTCATTAACGATATGAAGACACTCGGTACTACCAACTAGCGCTAGCAAGCCACTAATCGGGTTGACTGAAGGAGGGTACAAGACGCGGCCAAGAACGATTCACGTTTATAATGGCCAACTAAATAAGTAATTAATACGTATGAAACATATAACGTCGACATTTCCCGTTGTAATAAATATTTATGGACTGGAGTCGATGATCCGACGATGAGCATAAAGTCTATATTATTTTAATCACTTCCTTGGGAATAACTTATTAAAAATGCAGAAAAGAAGTTAAATTATTGTAGAAATTTTTGAAAAAAAAAAATGACAAAGTTACTTCTGATGACTTTTAAGATCTGGAGATATTCTGTCAATTCGCCATATTCATATGTATATTACATATATGCAACATTAGGGTGCCATTAATTTTCGAAAGTCGGAAAATTGCCCACAGCACCCCCAGATCGGTTCATTTTACTAAAAAAATAATCTGTGTGAAATTTTAGTTCAATTGGATAAGTGAAAATGGTGCCCCAAGAGCCCCAAAGATTGGAAAGTAACGATTTTTTCCATAAAATTCATTTTTGATTGCTTATATCTCCGACATATTTAATTTTACATAAAAACTGTCTTTCTAAAAGTTATACATCTATTAAAAATAAACAACCGATTTTACAAAAAAAAAATTTGCCCATATACCTTAATGGCACCCTAATGCAACATACTTAAAGAAATATACTTAAGAATTTACCTGTATTCGAAAAGGAAATACTTTACTACGTTGTAAAATTTTCCATCGAAGAGATCTTTCAAATTAATATATTTCAGGTAATGCTAAATATTTTCAAATGTTTTTTTTTTTTTCATTTCAGTAAACTTGCTTCTGTAAGCTAAATTTCAATCATAAAGTATATTTAAGAAAAACAACAACTACATGCTAAGAATTTGTGAAAAACTGATGGAACTGACATATACGGAAGTCACTGTGAAATATGACGAATCATAGAATATAGCAAATCAAGATGCAGAGGATAACCAGAAATAAGCAGACTTAAGAAGTGCTGAGGAGTAGAATGGAACAATATTGAAGAACAAACCAAAATTCCTTCCGGAATGTACCAATAGTGATGGCGATGCTTTACTATTGTATGTCAAGAGTGACAAGATCTTTAGCTTTTCTGATTTAAGGTCAAAATTTGAAGCATTTCTTAGCAGGAACTATGCAAATTGTGTAGTTTACATTACAAAAATAAAATTAAGCTTTTCAACTCTTGTCGTATTTTAACAGAATTAAAAGTTAATAGTTAATCATATACTACGATTAAAATGTGAATAAGGGATTGAAAAAAGGAATAAGAATATAAATGGGGGGCTAAGAGCTTTTTTATATACCAGTTAGTAATATACATTTTTATTATAAATTAGATATATTAATAAATTTTAAGCTAATGGCAATACAAATTTGAAATTTAGAGCATATTTTTGTTTTCTTTTCAAAGTTTTTGTACAAAAATAATTGAAAATATTAAAAATGTTTTTATTTTCAAGGTTTTTAAAACTTCAAGAGCTCTAGCGAATGCTCTAAAATACCACAAAAGTTTTCGATAAAAGTACGCATTTTTTTATTTAATTACTTTATACATTAATTTCGAGGTGAACAAAATAATATGAACAAATTCAAATGCGATGGCGTATTACCAAAAATAAATTAGAATCAGCATAAATGCATATTTATATAAAATGCATTTAAATAAATACTTTAGAGAAATTTATTTATTTTTATTTTTATAAACTGTTTTCAATTGTAATTTATATAAGATTTAGGCAACATTATATACATTACTAATTAGGCAGTTACAAAGCAGAAGCTTAGTACAAAAAATAACACAGCACTTTTATTCACATTTTTGTTAGATTTAAGCACAATATCAGATATTGTTCACACCCAAGTTGAAGAAACAAATGTGAAAATTAATTAAATCATGGGTCGCAATGTATTTCAATTGCACACATATTTGACCACTGCCTTGTAGTGGCAAGAGGAAGTAAGCACATCCCATTTATGTAACCCAATCAATAATCATATATAAAAACAATATTCTTTAAAAGCATATCAATACATTTGGAAATTTAAACAAACCATAAACAAAACCATATGTGCGTATTAAATATCAGAAAAAAAATATTTAATTTTTATGAATGAATTAATTTGACAATAATTTATATACACAATATAAATAAATTGAAATTTATTATAAATAATTAATACGTTAATTTAAGCAAAAAATTAATTCATAAATGGTGTGAAACTTTTACGTAGGGATTAGGTAAATTATTTTAAAAAAATTTTAACGAAATTCCTTAAGTTAAAGTGGAAATGCAAACAAACTAAAAATGTTACACCGTCCATTAAGTTTGTGGCTATTAGGCTATATACATATTTCAACATAAATTATTTTAAAAGCAAATTAATGAATATGAAAATGTCCTTTACACACTTTACATTTGGCTTTATATTTAGAATTTTAAGGCACATTTCTCCGCACCTGTAATGCAACACTGCGTAGCAAATATGTACAAAAAAATGTGCTGGGAAGCAGAACAAAACGTAAATAAAGTAACGTCAACGTCGACGTTAGCATATACGGCGCTGTTACCACATACGCGACACCCAGAACTGATTTTTTTTTCATTCCTGCGTGAAATAAAAATCGTTTGGTACTTCTTAATTAATAACGCAAATAACTTTTAATTTTCATATTTAAAATCTATTAAAAATTCTGGTTTTTGTTTAGTTTGTTTTAAATTCTTCTATTTACTAAGTTTTCCAAATAAAATAATTTTTCTTCCAAAAATTACATCGCTCACCTTGTGCTTTTTCTTCGCAGCGTTATTTAAGATTTTATAAAATATATTCTTTTAAAAAATTATTTATTTTTTATATACTAATCATTTACACAAATAAAATACAAATTTTTAACTTAGAACACAAATTTTTGCAATGGAATTTTTATTTTTGTAAGCAATTATCAATTCTTCCACAAATTTTCTAAAATTTCCAACTCCAACAAAAGACAACGACTGAATGATTTTACCATACGAATTAAGTGCAATAGAGAACACTATAGATATGTTGCCAGTTTTCAGGAATTCTTATGTTTTGTCTTTTTCGTACAATGTCATAGATTTATTCTTCTTCTTGTAGATGTCTCAACGTGATATATTTAAGAATTTAATTTTATCTTAAATATTATTTTTTTTTAATTAGGATTGAAACATTCAAAGATCTAAGTCTTACTTAAAAAATTAACAAGTAAATCATCAAATACAACAATTAAAAACATTTTTACTTTACAGCGGCTTTTTATAAAAGTACTGTACAAAATGTGTTCATTTTTCATTTACTCTTAATTCTTAATTATGTATTTATAATTTTATTCATGATTTAAAAGCAATTTATAAATATTTTTAGTTTATAGTAAACTTAAAAATAAAAATTTAATAAGAAATTTTAATAATTAATGATTAATGAATTTATAAACATGCTATAATAATCTGTAATAATACATTTAAGCTAGCATTGGGTTATTATTGTAATTAACACAGGCACACTTTTTAAAAATAAATCTATACAATAGTTCATTTAGCTTATTATTAAATTAATAATTAAAGCATCTAATTTTATTTCCATAATTACTTATACAAATTAATTAATTCTATATACAAACCGATGTTTTCTATACACAAACAAATCCATATGTTTAGTAAACCCATCGTATACAGTCAATGAATAATTCGACATCTAGCATTAATAGTCGATTACAATATCCGCATACAATAATATTATTAATTTACAACAAACGGCAGTTGTTTTGATTCAAGAATAATTCCTATTCCTAATGGTAGAGCCATGCGTCTCTACATATGTACATAAATATATACAAATTTCGTTACTTCTTATGTATTTATTTTATCTGGTAATAAATTTTCAGAGATTGAATATAACTTCATTGTACATTTTGCATACAGAATTTCGATAATAAATGTGGACTTCTCAACAGTAAAGAATACTTTTTGAAAGTAGGAATTTATAGTTAAGTTATTTATATATTGCAATAATGGGACAAAGACAGGGAGGCACACGCCTACCACATTTCAATATTTTATTATTGTCTTGAATACCTTAGCACACTTAAAAATATATAATAATACCATATCAGCATATCAGAGTCCTCTAATTTCGGCCCTGGGTATGCCTATGATTGCAATATATTATATATAATAATATATTATGTTATATATATAATATATTACAATATAGTACAAAATATTATTTTAAAAAAAACCGCGTGAATTTTTTATAATTTCAATAATTTCTTTAATGCATTTGTTTATGATTATATGCAAATCAGCAAAAATTTTTGTGAAAAGAAAAAGTTTTGATAAGTACAAATGGCATAACATACCACAATTGTTCAACAATAGTAACACACTAGTAATTTGTATAGTGTAATAGATTCACAATATTACAAAAAAAAAAAGATTATTAAAAAAAAGATTTATTAAACCGCAGGCTAGTTACAAAATATGCTAGTTACAAAATTTGCTAGTCAGTTATTTTCAAGCGTACTGTACCTATTATTGCATGTACGAATTTATTAATTCATTATTAACTAGTCCTTGTATTATAAATATATCACAATATAAATATGCAATAATAAAACCATGTTATTGCAATAAAAAAAACATAAATTTGTTCTTTTATATTGTTTAAAACAATACAACTTTGTTTAGATACATATTGTTTAGTTGTGAGCATAGCCTAAATTGCTCAGAGAGAGCAAGATTATAATTTTTTTAAACAAATTTTTCTCTGTTGTGTATGTAGTTTGCGACCAGTACGAGATTGTACACAACAGTCAAGCAGAATTGTTAGAATTTAAAAATATACTCTACTTGTAAAACTATAGTATATTTCTAAATTTATAAGGAAGATCACCTGTTTGGTTTGTTCCTATGTAAAACTGTAGTTGTAAGTAAAATAACATTTAAATAGTTTAACTGAATAATTTAAACATAAAATATATTATATTCCAGAATATTTAAATAAATTTTACATAACGCCTACAACACATAACAATGTCAACCGAAGGACTTAGCTCAGTTGTAGCCAATTACTTTGACAAAGGTATTATTTTAGTAATTGCAGACTTACTTAGTCTTATAACAGTGTCATCATGTCTGGTTATAAAAGTACCTCAAATAAATACAATTAGAGAAAATAAGTCATCAAAAGGTATTAGATTGAGTCATTTGAATTATTTGAAATAATAATTAATTAATTACAGGTATAAGTGTTAATGGCTTGTGTCTGGAACTTTTTAGTTACACGGTTATGATGTCATATAATTACAGTAGCGGCTATGAGTTCCTTTCATACATGGAGTATGTCCTATTATTAATACAGGAATATGTGCTTATTTATTATACTTTTAAATATCAGAATCTGCTGGGCCAGAAAACTAAAATTATGACTGTGGTTTATATTATAATAGCAACTTTAATCTATTTCAAAATATTTCCTGTTATAATACTCACTTTTCTAGTGGTAAGTAAAAATTCTAATAGACCGAAATCTAAAAAATATTTTTGTGAATTTTCTTATCTCAAATTCTATTACTCACCAATCAATTTAAATTGATTTGTTGGTTTATGAAACACAAGTTTTTCTGTTTTTACGATAATAAAAATAATAATGCCATGCGTTTAATTTTCGCGAAGCTAAAAGAATACAAAACTATATTTATAATATATAAATATGTATAACTAGTTATCCATCACTAATTAAGTATACATCACTGAATTTATAATTAATATTTATAAAAACAGTTTACTATCTTAATTAAATTAGTATGAGATATTGTGTGTGTGTATTTGTTTTCCATATGAAAATAATTACACAAAATGAGATATGCTTATGTGAATGTCAATTACTAGTGATTTGTTGTTAATATTAACATTAAATGTAAAATAAACACAGAATAGAAAGTCTGTTCTGTTTACACATGATATCAATTACCCATAAAAATATACGAGCATTCGGATATTAATGGTATTTTTTGAATTATTCAACTAAAAATTGTTTTCTTTTCTCAATTGATTAAAATAATATATAGAGTTTTTGTTGTTGTAGTTCACTACTTTTCGAAACCTCTCTATTAAATACATTACTTTTACTTTACTGCTGTCCTTCACTCCTAGGTGGAGCATAGGGTTTCATTAAATACAATAGTTTCTATTAAGTAAAATAGTCACTATCGTCATATTGACGTTAAAACTAAATTTTCTTTTTTTTTTTATTATTTTATATAATTGTTTTCGGCACGATTTTGATTTTCGGGCAAATCTATTTTACTACGGAAGTAAGCTATTTTGAGCAACTTTCTCCACTATACAATATATGAGTACTTCTCTAGATATCGAGGTTTAAAAAATTAATAACACTAACAAGAACTACACACGCCATTTAACACCAACTGGTATATGCAATTTTTAGATTGATTATACAAACAAGGAATAGGATAAATGTCGCCTCTGCTTGTTAGTAGTGTTTATATACAAATTATATAAAAATGATGTTTTAAATTCTGCAGGAGGTGGTTTAGAGATTTCATATTTTTCAATAAAAAACGCATACCGATCTAGCGTTCATGTAATAGAACTATGATAAACAAGGAATTTATCGATACTGCAACGTTTAATGCAGTTCTTTCAGTCACTAATATATAGGAACCTTTGTATATAATATATCTTGTTGAAGCTACTTCTACAACTTATAGAAATTTTTAAAAGTTAAATAAAAGAAGAAACAGACATGCATTATATCTTTGATTGTTTCGGCTTGAAAAGAGATAGCTTATTAGGGTAGGTTATCAGTATTTGTTTTCTAAGTAAAGTAATTGTTGTTTTCTAGTCTGCTATTATTGATATTGCTGAGTGTGTTTGATTGCTAGTGGTTTTTTTTTTAGTTTTTTATAATAGAATAATACATTTTCAACATTATTTATTTAAATAATTAACTCATATATTTAAAATATATACACTGTATATGAATTGCACTAGGTTTACTAGATTACAGTCATCCACTTAGAGGTTAAAAACAATTTTGAATTTGTAGTAATTTTTAAGATGATGATTTCTTTTTCTAGAAATGAACTAATATAATATACACTTAACAGTGACAAATCAGATTTGAGATGCTCTTTTCATAAATCGTACAGTTCTGATAAGAATCATTTGAGATTATATTGAATCTCGCATATCCCAAATAACAACGACTCTGAAAATATTCTTTATGTGAATGATATTATTTTATTAAATTTGAATTCATATTAATTATGAATTAAACTTATTTACTTTACTCATGTTAACAATCCGTACACAACAAACATAAGTTTATATTTATATATTAAAATAAGAAAAGTGCCAGCGAACAGCACTAAAAAATAAAACAAAATCGGAGATTAATATAATTTTTTACAATATTTCCGTAGTAGACGTTTGTACACATTATAAATGTTTAAAAAAAAACCAAAAACACTTAAATTCGATATTAAGTCTGATTTTTATTGTTTTTATTTTTATAAATGTTTTACAAAAACATTTTATTTTATAAATATTAAAAAAAAACACTTAAATTCGAATATTAAGTCTGATTTTCATTGTTTTTATTTTTATTATTATTTTATTATTAGTGATTTTTATCACTATTAATTCAAATTCCTAAATCGTGTAAGAAAGATAACTAAATCAGAAAATATTTAGTTTTTTGTATCTCAAAGTGTTCAATTTTTAAATAGCTTTTAAAAAAAAACTTTAATATAGATTATGTTAGTTGCTTGCTTATTTTGTACATCTACATATATGATTTATTTGTCTGTGATGATAACTTGTTTAATAAATTAACCAAATTATTTTTTTTTTTTTGTGGCTTTATTAAAAATAGTATATCGTTTTTTTTATATTTCTCAATACTAAATCTACATCGCGACAGGCGATAAATACCAAAGTCGTTAAAGAAAAATGTGATTGTTTTATAATTATCATAAATTTTTAATATAGTCGATAAATTTAAGTTTGTTAGATTTAACAACCTTTCGCTAAATTTACATTAATTTTTTATATTCTTTAATATTTTAGCCTTTCTGCACTCCAATTGGCGCAACAAGTAAAATATTACAGTTAATAGCGATATTAAAGTCAAAGGATGCAAGCTCTGTGAGCCGTACAACATGGGCATTATCCGCTTTTACAAATGCGAGTACGTTATAATTGAATATAAATACAAAATTTAAATATATATTATATTATTTTTCATTTTTTCAATAGCCCGAATTTATACCGTATATGTACAATCACATGATTGGATGCTTCTCTCCAACTTTATTATATCAACTTTTATAAGTTTAAGCGTATTTACAGCTGCTTGCGTGTATAAGAAGAAAACTAAAAAGGAATAAACGTTTTCCAGACTAAGAGAAATCCTTGAGAAATCTTTACTAATCTTAGAAAATTTTAACAAAATAAAAAAAGAAAACAAATAAACTATATTAAAATAATATAGTAGAGACTAAAGTGTCTTACCAACGATTAAAATATTTATAACTATTATCGAACATTTCACAAATTAAGAAACATTTTAACGTATAAGTATATGCGTGTTTAAACATGACAATTTAAGAATAGAAAATATTTTATTTATTTAAACTTTTACACTGACTTTGTTATAGTTAAATATAGTTAATTAAATTCTTTGCTCAATGTTTTTAAAATTATTTGTACATGTTAAAAATTTTTGTATTACAATATTGAACTGTATCATAAATAAAAAAAAAGCTTACCTTATAATCTAGACTCATAAACATTATATTTGTTATCTAATTATTTTTCTTTAATTTTCGGTATAAACTGCTACAATAACAGCTATTAAAATAGCTATAGCAATGCCCGCATATATGCCAAATTGTTTCCAATTGAAGGGTTTATTGATATGTTCAACTTGAGTTTTACGTTCTTTGAATTTTCGTTTTCCGAATTTTTTCTCAAATTGTTCTACTTCCAGGCGATTTTTAGCTTCTTCTTCTAAAAGCAATTTTTCGGCTTCTTGCTTTTGTAATTCCTCTTGTTTGTTACGTGTTTCTACACAATTTTGATCACAAGGAATTTCTTTAAGACCATCTCGATGCTTGTCGCAGGACACTTCAATTTTTAAACGTTTACATTTGCAATATATACGAACTTTTTTACGACAGGACTCTGGATTAGGGCATTTGCCTGAGTGACATATAGCTACACATCGATGTCCACAGGAATACTTAAAATATAAACCATTTTAATTGTAATTACAAGAATTTAATAAATCATTTATATATTTACATTTTTTAAACAACGATTTCCGCAGCTTTTTAGTTTTTCACGCTGTTCCATTATATCATTCTCTGTACCATCAGTTCTAAAATATTCTGAACATTTGTACAAAACTTGTGATAATCCACAATGACAATTGCTTTTCATATTAACATTACAAACAGCACATGGTGGTAAATGACAAGCACGTCGACACGGATGTATACAACCAGTTGGACGTGTTATATTACAACCTTCTTCACAAGCTCCGCAACCGATTTGTTCCTATAATTAAAATAATTTTCAAAGTTCTTACAATATTCTTTTAGGTTTTCCTTAACACTACTCACATTCATATCCAGTAGATTGGGTACGGGATGACAAATCAACTGACATTTATGATTTCCACAACGAAGCAATCTATTACATGGACGTTTGCATGACGATGGCGATGATAACCAACAAGGCCACGCCGATGTTTCGTGACCGCCAACACAAGTAGCCATTACTGATTGTTCACATTTTGGATGAGGCAACGATTTATACTCAAACTAAAGTAAAATAAAAGAGAATTTATGCAAAAATTAAAGTTAAGAACTATTTTTATGTATTATAAATAATTTGTTGAATTAATATATTTATATTAAATTTTATTATTTAATATAAATAGTTATAAAATTTATATAATTTATTATTAAAAGGGGTATATATAGTTAAGAATTTTTAACTATATATATTTATGCAATTTTCTTTTTAAATTGAGAATATTTATTTAGCGATTTTCTGTAGAAATTTTTAAACTCTCCAAAACATCTTTTCATTTCTTTATTACTTTATTATTTGAAATGCATTAATTCAAAATATAATTATATAACATATATAGGAAATTATTTAAAAAACTATTTTTGTGTTTTGTAAATATTATTTACGTTTACGAATGTCTTTATATTTAAATAGGAATTTAAATAGGCTTTTTTGTATAGAAGCCTATTCAAATGTAATAATTTTTTTGTGTTTGCTTTATTAATAGATTTTTGGATTAATATATATATATCTGTGTTTATATCAATATTTAACTAATCTATAGATATCTATTCTTTCTAAATAAAAACATATTTTTTTAAATAAAAATTCACATTAATTTTTAAACAATTCTATTAGTTTAAATTTATAAAATGTAAATTTAAAATATAAAGTTAATATATATAAATAATTAATATTAGTATTATTATTTTTACTTCATTTTAAATTTTTTGTATTACATAAAAATTAATAACAGTTATATTATATATATATAAAGCTCACAGCTATGACATTTTAGCCGACTGCCGTAAATAATTAATATAATAATAATATATATATTTATAGATACATAGATTATTATTCGTTGTTATTATTATGCTTAAATTTAAAAGAACAAGAAGCAACAATGTATATGCAAAAACTATGTAAAAAAATGTTAAAACACAACAATGTCAATAAAGATAGTACTGATACTACTTCTGAAGTACACTTAGTACTTTATACAACTTTATATCAACAGCGAAGTAAAAAATAGTTATGAGAATATTTTCAATGTAACATTACTTTGGTAAATAATGTAAATCCTTCTTTTTGAAATATATATTTACCTTTTTAATCGTATCTAGTTTTTTAGTCAAGTTAGCATCACGAATTTCTACCTTTACAACCGAGTGACATTTAGCCAAACAAAGATGACTGCATGTTTCAAGTGGTACATTACACTTCTGATTACATGGCGGACAGTCACCTCTATGACAACGATGATTATTAGGATGTTGACATTTTGATTTGATTCTATATCAAATTCTTTCTGTTAGTAACATATTAAATTCATACTATTTTATTATGTAATTACCTGCACGTCTCTAAACAAACAATTCGTGCTCTTTTTTCTCTACCACATGGTACAGTTTTAGAAGTTTTTCCACAAGGACAATTTATTTGACTTTTTAGTTCACATGGATAACAAGGACCATCATGGCAAATGGATTTACATTTATGTTTTTTACAAGATAATTGTTTTCCACATATCTTATCACATGGCGGACAATTACCATCGCAACACTAAAAAATATAATTTTTATTTATTTAATTTGAAATTAAATTTACTTTACGTACCTTACGATTACAAGCGTGTTTTCCGCACTCACGTATTTGTTTACATTTCATTTCACACGAAAACTCCTTAGAACATGGTAATTCCTTTTCATGTAAACCACAACGACATTTCTTTTTAATAATAATCATGCACTGAAATTTAAATAGAAAATATTTAATATAATATAACACGAACAGAGTTTTTTAGAATTAACAATATTTATCTAGATTATTATATACGTTTCTACGGTAATTTTTATTAAACTTCTAACTTGATCTAAAACATTTCTGATTCAGATTTTTGGTATTGATCAATTTGCAAAGTTTTTGGCGGATATAAAAGCAGTTTTTTTTATAAAAATCTATATCTAAAATATGATATGCGTTTCTTATCTACTATTAATAAAGCAGGCTTGAACATAGAAAATTACATACTAATAGCAGATTCTACTCAATTTCCCAATCGCTTTTATAAACTATCTAATTGCAACAACAATCATTTTAAGTTTCCTAAAGTAAATTTTTTTCCTCAAAAAATTTAAATTTTTATCTGCAACAGTTTTTTTCTATGACATCGTCTTTTTACCTTATACAGAAGTTCTTACACATACAGATCATCTTACAGATGATACCCAATACTCTCACGTGTATATCTGTCAAACAATGAACTGTAATGACGGAAGTAAGCAAATCACCGCACCTCTTTATTAAGCTTAGAACACTGTTTATTATTTCGTTTAGAATTGCCTTGGTATCTGCCTTCCAATTACTTTTTATGCAATAAAAAATTTAATAATACGGGGATTTCTATTTGTAACATTATTGCGTTATAAAAAAAAGTAATACGGCGCAACAATCTAAACCTCAATGTGTGGTTTTGACTTATTTGATTTAATTTTTTAATGTACATTTTCTTACCAAATTGCATTGACCTCTATGACAACGTTGGGTACAGTAATGAGTACCACATGCAAGTAACTTTTGACAAGTATCACCACAAGTGTCCACAACTTCTGAACATGGCCCAGTTTTTTTCTAAAAAGTTTATCACACACTTAACATATATTTTAACCATACTCCAAAAATAATAATTACCGTTTTGCCACAAGGGCAAGAGCGTGGTAAACCTAAAGGGCATTCACCACAATCCCCACTGTGACAGACAACCTTACATTTGTGTATACCGCAAGCATATTTTTTGTTGCAAATCTGAAATTAAATGAAATTAAAGGTATACTTTCTAATTATAAAAAAATGTATTAAGAGTTAGTACTTTCTGGCATTTCCATTTTAAGTCCGAACAATTTCGGGTTTTGATTTCTGCACCACATTCACATGATTGTTTGGAGGTACTAGAGCAGGGAGGACAAAATCCTGCTTTGTGACATATTTGGTTACAAACGTGTTTACCACAAGATAATAGCAGTGTGCACTATAAATTTGAATTTTACATATTTAATACTTTAGAGATATTATTTAAATATGATTTACCTTTTTTGTGCACTGCCAATATTTTTCAGCGCAACGTATAGATTTTTTAGCTGAATGACCGCATTGACATGCCGTTACCGCATATTGAGCACACGGTGGGCATGGCCCTGGATGACATAACAACATACATTTGTGTCCACATTGTGGTTGTAATTGTTTGCTACATATTTCACCACATGAATGAGGCACCAAAAACGGTTGATATGTGGGGTTCTCTTCATTACCACAGAAGCATTTATACACAGTTGGTCTTTCCACTGGTTCATATTCTTCACGACATTGTGGACAGAACCAGCGCACACCACGTTTCTTTTTAGGTGGAATAAATTCGCCTAAATGATTGTAATAACCTTGATCATCTTGCGATGTTTGAGCTTTTATTTGCGCAATACTATCATTTGCCCATCGGCGTATACAATTTAAATGAAAAAAGCAATAGCAGTGCCTACAAGACCAAATGGAATCTGTGCGACGAACACTGCCAATGCAAATAAGACATGTTGCAGCACCAGATTGTAAAACATTTTCCAAAATTCCAGAAGTTTTCTTTAATAGTTGACTATCCTTTGATTCTTTGTAGTGTTGATAAAGATTACCTATTATGTAAATTTATTTGATGAATAAGCATGTATAAAAAAATATTAAGAACTGTACTTAATACGTACTTAGAATAGTTTTCTCGTCCAATTCATCTTCATCTTCTGAACTTGGTATAAAATTTTCAGCACATTTTATTGCTGAATCTAAATTTTTTTCTTTTACTTTTACAAACAGTTTAGTAGAATCCATATTTTCATTACTTTTCAGTTAACACAACCGGCTTTTTTGAAGTAAGTTTAGCATTTGCACATTCTTTTTCGAGGGATTTACAGTTTTCGGCAATTCCGAACGTATTTACTACGGTATTTACGTGGTACTTAATAAATAGTGTTGGGAAATGTTTTTATTTTGCAAATAACATTTGCTCAGTGTTAAAGTTTAGGCTCATTGTAATAAATTTTTTATATATACATTTTATATATATATCATATCAATTTTTTATCAAAGTTTAGAGAAATGATTCAAATATTTGTATTTTAAAAAACTAAATAATACGTAATTATTTTTTCAAATTCATAAATTTATAGTGTTTTCGAATACTTATACAGATAAAAACTTTTAAGAGATTGATAGGACATTCAAATTATTTCATTTATATTGGATCAGATCAAAGTTTTGTAATTTCAACTGTCATGTTTGTAATTTGAGCTGTCAATTATTGTTGCTTTTGTGGCAAATTGATAATTTTTGATAGCAAATATTACAAAGAAAACTTATGTAAATACAGTATGAGACACGCGCTCTTATATATTAATGAGTGCAAAAGCTGAACATTCACTTTATAATGATCTAATTTATGCATCTAATACAACTTTTAAATTTAAAAAAATCTATTGAAGAACATTTGTTTGTTTACAAATGAATTGTAATAGGTCTGTTCAACGAGCTACTAGTAGTAAAACTCAAGTAAAACACAAGTAAAGTAAAAACTGAGAGCGTAACACGGTTAAAGTGTCAAATTACATTCTATACACAGATTTTCATAAAACAGCTTTGTGTGAAATCGGGTGAGAACACCAGGGCTGCGCAAATAAACAATAAAAAATTTAAATTCAAATCAAAACAGCTGATTCACACATCAGAACAAATTTTACTTGAAATGAAATATACGAGTAAAGTCTGTGTAGCATTTTCAAATTTCGACAGGGATGTTCTCAGATGCTCTCATTTACTCAAAAATTTGCTAGTGGAACGCTCTTATGTATAACTTAAAGTGTAACTCAAAGCAACATATTTAAATCTGTTTTTGTTATATAAAAGTTATATATAAATATTAATAAACAAAAAAGATTCAATACACAAAAAAATCGCAAATGTTATTAAAAATATGTGCGTCCCGTGGAAGCCCCAAAATTGTGGAAATTGGAATTTTCGTCCACAATTCAAAAAAATGCCTTTGTCCACTTTCCAATTATGAGTTTCGACATCTCTTCCAATTTTGGGTCTAAAATTAGTATTTGATTTAATTAAATTACAAATCAGTTTTTGTAATATCTATAGCATATGCAATTAAAGAACACTTTAACACTTTAAGAACAAAAAACTTGATTAAATATTAATAATTCGCCATTGAATCATATGTCGCTAAACATCTGATAAATAAACTTCACTCAATAATACACCACACAAAAAAAAATTCAGACAGCCAAATTTCCTTAGTTTCGTAAAAACGAAATTAAGTTAATTTCAAAAGTGTTTATACTGAACCAAATTAAGAAAATCATATGTTTTTTTTACAAATTGAATGTTTAAAATCACATGCTCAAAACACGATTTGTATCTGGGATATTTTAAAAGTTGATTATTATAACTATAAAGGATGGCATTCAATAGTTGTATTAGCTTCAGTAGATTCAGTTATGTGAATTATTTTTTTTCACTCTATTTTAAATTAATAATACTTTTTAACTACATGCAAATTTAAAAATTTGCACTACTTTCAAAATATTTTCCCGGTTTTCAAAAGTTGAAGACAATTTTTCGTTATCGCAACTTATCTTTTGCATAGTTACATTTAAAATTTCTTTTAAATTCAGTCTTCGTTTCAATGAAATTAAAGCCATTTTCTTTGCATTCGTTCTAACCTTGGATCTAAATTTTGAATGGAAAAAACAACTTAATTTCGCTAAAATGAAGACGAAATTAAAATTTTTGCTATGTTAAGGTGTGTCTTAACATAGTATTCGTTTTAATGAAATTAAAGCCATTTCCTTTAACTTCGTTCTAACCTTAAAACTGAATTTTGTATGGAAAAAAACAACTTCATTTAGCTGAAACAAACATGTAATTAAAATTTTTGCGGAATGATGTGTCTGTACATAGTATAATGCTCTCATTTACTAGTAAATGTAACCATTTACTACGTTTACGCGAGTCTTAAAATCACTTTTAAAACTGATTTTAAAATTTGTTCTTAGAGCGTTTACGCACAAAAATTAAAAGCACTTTTAAGGTAGCTGTCAATCAATCAGCTGTTTAACAGTAAACAGAAATGTTGATTTTAAACATTTTTAAAATGAATAGAGTAAAACTACAAATTGTTTTACTTTTATTGCAAAAAAGAAATATAACCAAAATTGTAGAAAATAAAAATGAAGCAACAATGCAGATTTTTAAAACATCTCGTAAAAAATTTACAAAATTACGAGAAATGCGATTGCAGCTCTTTAATAAAATGGCAATAAGTTCCGCTAATGAGGCTTTAATGAATGTAAATGTTTTTATAAAGTTTTTCATAAAATATTTAGAATGCATTTTTGTTTTTAGCTTCCACCACGAATAAGAACTTTTAGCAAAAGGAAGAGAAGTTCGGAATGGTGGGATGTTGAAGTTCTGTAGTTCTATGACGATGAACAATGGATTGTTGCTTTTAGAGTGAATCGACAAATATTTTTTAGGCTTGTAGATTTACTTAAGGATAAAATGGCACCAGCAGAAAATACTTTCGTTGAAGGGTTGAATATTCCCAACCTGAACATATGTACAATCGACAAAATTTGTCGTCCGGACAACTTATGCGAGATCATATATGCGCGTACTTGGCGAGAAAATTTCCACTTCTACTTAGAAGCAATTAAAAAAATAATGTAGAAAAAACCAATTTTAAATTAATTAATTTATAATTTTTTTTATTTTTTTTTATAATAACAATATAATATATATAATATAATATATTTATAACAATTTGTGCTTAATGACAAATTTAAATAATTGAAAATAATAAACTTAATTTAAACTAAACTAAAATGTTTTAAATATATAGTTATCATTACGGTAAAGTTAAGATTTTCAAATAGAGAATAAAAAATAAACAAGTTTAATTAATTTAGATTCTTGGATGCAATTAGGCTTTTTCTATATTTTTTGCCGTCTAACAATTTAATTATTTGTTTTTCTGCAAATATTTTAATTAAACATTCTTCCTCCTCTTTCATCCAATTTTTTCTTTTCATTTCCTTTTTCTCCATATTTTTAGTTATTTGGTTAGTGTTATGTGTAATAAAATTCAAATTATTTGTACCTATTTACTGTTAACAGCTGACAATTCAAACCTTAAACTGCTTTTAAGGTGTTTACGCAAAGATTAAAAGTGACATTTCTTACTAAAAGTGATGTTAAACTACATTTAGTAAGCTAAAAGTGCTTTTAAGCAAAATTCAATTTAGGGTGTTTACGCGATCTTAAAATCGATTTTAAGAGCCTTAAAACAACTTTTAAGGCTCGCGTAAACGTAGTGAATGTACGTATAGGCAAAATTAATGACAACTTGAATCACAAAATAATCGTTTTATAAATAGTTAATAATTATAAATTAATATACCATTTTTATTTTTCATTTAATTTTATATTTCAATTTTTTCTTTATGACAACAAATTTCAAATTTTATGTTCATACAAATGATCTGATTTAATTTTTTTTTATATATTTTGCGTCTTCTTATATATTTCTTAAAACTACAACCCACCATTATAGGACAAAAATTCAAAACAAAGTCCAATATCAGCTGCGGAGTGGAATTGTCAAAAACGAAGATACCAAATATCGTTTTCACTTTGTTTTTTGTTATGTGATGCGACTAAATTGGTCGAGCTTATTTGCATTTTGGTTTTGTAAGCAAGTTTTTGAAATTAATTGTAGTTGCGACAAAGTATTGGTTTTGCAATGAGTTTCTTTAAATGTATTTTCGGGCCAAAATTATATTTAGAATATGGATCCAGTCCTGCTCAGGTAAAAGAAAACTAAGCATAGGTGAAAAAAAAATTTTAATACATTCTACCCTTTTTTTACTAGAAAATGTATGAACCAGTTGGATTGGAAAAATTTGGGGAACAAATTTTGTATACGGTAATTATTCATATGAAATAATTCGAAAGAACAAAATTAAATAATCTTACAAATAATTTAGCTATCGCTTATGTGGAATTTAAGTTATTACACATCTCCGTTAATAGTCACATTTCTGTATAGAAGAGGATATTTTGTTACTGACTCAATTTCGTCAATGGCAAAATTTACTACAAGTATTGGGCTAATAGTAATTATATCTCTTTGTATGCGTGGAATTGGCCGCTCGCAAAATCGATCATATGTTAAATTAATTAAAGCTCTGGAAACACAGAAAAGCAATGTAACTAACGACGAAAAAAAAAGAGCTTTGAGGCGCTTCGATTTTGATTTTCGTGCATGGGACGTCGATTTTGACGTCAACAGTTTACAAAGGTAAATGAGTTTAGATTTTTATCAAATATGGTAATATTTTTATAATTGATTTATTATAAGTGATAACAAAAAACCTGGTACACCAGGTAGTAGCCGTGATAAACGGTCTTTCCAATTGGCCACACTACCTTGTGAATTGGTTGCTTACGCAGCAATGCATACATTTGGTATCCGAATGATATATCCTGGTTCAGTAAAATTATTACAGAATTATATGCGACCAATGTTAGTTGCAGGACGTGCTAAGTTAATTGAAGAACAAAATGCAACTCGTTATAAAATTAAAACTGTTGACAGTAATGAAATTGATAGCATTTTTGTTGACAAACGCGGAAGGGGCAGCAATGGGAATACTCTTGTTATATGCTCAGAAGGTAACAAATTTTTAAAACATTTATATTGCTCCATATTTAAAGTACAAATAATTTATCGACAGGTAATGCTGGTTTTTATGAAATTGGAATTATGGGCACTCCAATAGCACTTAAATATTCAGTACTTGGTTGGAATCATCCTGGATTTGAAGGCAGCACTGGGCAACCTTATCCAGATCAGGATAAAAACGCAATTGATAGTGTTATACAATTTGCTATAAATAAGCTAGGATTTCAAGTTGACGATATTGTGTTGTATGGTTGGAGTATTGGTGGTTATAGTACTCTGTGGGCTGCATCGTGTTATCCAGATGTTAAGGGTGTGGTATGCATTTTACATTACATTACATTATAATTCTACTTTTGAACACTGACTGATCTTTCTTAAACAGATAATTGATGCTTCATTTGATGACGTTCTTTATTTAGCACAACCACGCATGCCTGCTAGTTTGGCTGGAATTGTACGAATTGCCATACGAAACTATTGCAATTTAAATAATACCGAACTATTACCTAATTATAATGGTCCTATTTTATTTATACGCCGCACTGAGGATGAAATAATAGCAGAGTATGCATATTATTTTTTAATTTAAAACAGTCATGTGATTATTAATTATATTTTTGATTTTCAGGGATAACCAAATACATACAAATCGTGGTAACTTTTTAACCCTTGCTTTACTGAAATATAGATATCCAAACATATATAAAGCTGAGCAATTAAATCGAATGAAGAAAATACTTTCCAAGCCTATAGAAGCTAATGCGAATAACGACGATGACGATTTGTGTATGTCACGTCTAATTACGTTCGCCTCAGACCAGGGAAAATCATTTCCAATGGAAATTGGTGAAGATTATACCGATATTACTCGAAACATAATGGCTGAATTTTTAGTAAGTTGAATTACAAACGAATTATATTGATTTTACCTAAAAATAAAATTTTTTTTATCCCTTTTAAGTTGCGTAAACATTTTCGTGATTACAAATCAACACATTGCACACCATTACCGACGGATTTCTTCAACATTCCTTGGGATATACCAATCGAACATGGATTCGTGTTCACTTAAAATGTTTTAATTTAAGAGTTCAAAAATTCTAATCTAATTAAAATTATATTGCATTAAATATTGTAATGCATTTAGCTAATTTATAAATATGGTAAGGGCAATAGTATTTGGAATCTTGAAATAAACAAAGCATTAAACTTAAATTTAAATATAAATTATTTTATTCGAAATACCCACTTATAATAAAATAAAAATATAATTTATTTACTTTGAAATACCCTTATTTACAAAATTTAAATACATTTTGTTTTTTGATTTTCATTGATAGACTCCAAGTAATATTAGGTGTATTTGACTACACATTTGTTTAAACAGAGAGCGACATTCTGTACTTCGGTTCTTTTTAATAATAAATACCCTCTAATGCAAATGCTTTCGTGCATAATAGGATATATATGTGTATGTGCATAATATATAAATTATCTATTATATGTACATATATATATGATATATAAATATATTGTATATTTATATACTTTTAACTGAGTGTATTTGGTTTTAGGATTGAAATAATATATGTCATGTTTAAAAGTAAATATATTCCAATTAAATAATAACAATTAGGAAAAAATTTCTAATTTTTGGGAAGTTTTAAAAATGTATCTTAAAGCCTTATTTATTTGCATAATAGTTTCTTATAGTTTTTGGGAAGCCGAATGCTCTTTCGGACTTAGTTCTTTTCGTTCTGCAAGAACTTCTGGAAAAGTTAAGGTTAGGCTCTTCGAAAATTATACTAATCGTAATTAATCATCTTGTTTACTTTAGAAATCCAAAAATATTACATATTGTGATGGAAACCAACTATTGCTGCAGTTGGCTAATCTGTATATTGTGAGTCCAGAACGCATTGTTTTGTTGCTCACAACTGAAAGTTACAATGACACCTGTGAAGATTTGCGAAGTATGCTCACACATATAAACGCCACATTATCAACCTGCGTTCCTCTGCCAACAGCAAAACTTTACCTAAAACTGAGAGACGGAAGTGAATACTTCGACAAACATATCTGTTGCAATCTAGATACCAAAAAGAAACGTTTGTATTTGTTTAATATGCGTTGACAGTTTGTTGATATATATTTTCATAGACATCGTTAATTACCACCCTTGTCTAGTAGAACTAAGAGATGACTTAATTGATTGCGAAGGGCCACCAGATTGGTTTGAACAAAAGAACAAAAAGGCAGTATGTCAGTAAGTATAAATAAAAATATTATGTTGTTGGTGATATTATCGTACCACTAATAGAGATTTGGTCGATGTTGTGAATTGTTATTATATAAAAGCAGCTATGTTATGTGGAAAGAAAGCTGCTAAACTGCTGCGTGAGTTTTCAATTAATGTATTGAAACATGTTATAATGGTAAATATAATTTTAAAATATTTTAAATCATTTTTAAAAATGTAAATAATTTAGTGCGACTGCCATGTGCCATCCTCTTTGCCGTATGTATGTGATGCTATGCCTTCGGAGGGCGCCCTAATGAAACCAATATCTCTTAATTACGTTATTATATTTTTACTAATTTAGCTGTTTAATTTTATATAATAAATATGTTTTACATTTAACTAAATATGTTTTTGTTCAGTTTTATGAGTTTTTCTTTGATCCCCCAAATCCTGAGAAACCCATAATGGCAGCCATATCATCCGGTAAACTTCCGCTAAACGCATCATCTTCATCTGCTTTACGCTTACGATCTTTTCGTTTTTCCTTACGATGTTCCTTATATCGATCTTCTTCCTCTTTAGCCTCACGTAGTCTTCTTTCAAGTTCATAGTCTTTTTGCTTTTCTTCCATTTTTTTCTTGTTGGCTTGAAATCGTTCCTTAACCTGATCCACTGTACTGCGCTCCACTTTCATGGACATGCCAAGGTTACGCTGATGCTTTTTTCCATTAATATGGTCCAAAAAGTTAATCGAATCCTTAACAACGCAATCACATACATTGCAATAGTAGCCACCAGTTTGTGAAGTTGGAGTATTTTTGTTGATAACTACGCTTTTTCCTAATTTACTATCTAAGTCAACTTTATAATCACGGCGTTTTAGATTTTCTCTTTGAATTGGCTCTATAAGAAACAAAAAAACAATTATAATTTGATTGGAAACGAAAATACTTTGATATTACAACCTTCCTCCTTTGTAACTTTTGCCTGATTTAGTAGTCGTTCTTGGGCCAATTTTTGGTACTCAGCTTTGTCCCATTTTCGGCGATGGTCATCGGGTCGCATCGACATTTTTATATAAATTTATATTGGACTTAATATAATAATAATGTTTAATACACTGTCAAATTAAATTAAAACAATGCTTTTGTATAAAATTTATAAATATCTTTTGATAAAATGGAATGAAGTTTACAATTAGGATTGCCAACATTTTAAATTTCTTAGTATTTTAATGTCAACAAAAATCTGAGATGAGGGTATAGTTTTGATTATTCATTTGAGTTTAAACTATTATTGGATAGTTTGTTATATTACTACTTTTCGAACTAAATAATTATGCTGCTCATTTTGATTCATTATTAATATTAAAGAAATGTATAATATTCCTCTTGTGTATATTAAATTCATTCTATTTATACAATTCAACTATACTTGATATTATCCAGTTATATGTGCAAATACTGTTTCAATGAAAATTCGATCTCAACAATACATATTAGGTCTGTTCCTCGAGCTACCCATAATAACTTTAAGTAACACTGTGTATACACAAGTGAGTTCCACTAGCAAATTTTCGAGTAAATGAGTGCATCTGGGAGAGCGTATTTAAATTTTTATATTGTTTATTTACGCGGCACTGGTGTTTTTACCAAACTTTACACAAAGCAGTTCCATCTAAAAATTTGTGTAAAGAGCGTAGTTTGACAATTTATTTGTATTACGCTCTCAGTTTGTACTTACTTGTGTTTTAATTGAGTTATACTATGAGTAGCTCGTGGAACAGACATATTTTCTACGTTCTACGTATTTTCTAGCGATATAAACAATTGACTTACATTTTTTTTATTCAGACAAAATATAGACATATATGCCTTACCATTAATTTCGTAATAAAAATACAACAAAGTATATTAATCTTATAACTGAAAGCAACAAGCTTTATTTCATTGAACTAGTTCAATGTTTGTGTGTTTTTGAACACTTTTTGTTTACATCAGGCACAAGCAAGCAAACAAAGCGAAATTTGGTAAAAACAACGCAAAACAAGTAAAGTCAACTCATAGACCAAAATACAGCGGTAGAATAAACAGGTGTGATTCGTTTGTTTATTTGGTTAAAAGATAAGAAATGTTTATAAATTTGGCTTAGTTTGTATATAATCGAGTAAAACATAAATTTCAAAATTAATTTAATAACTATAAATTAAATAATTTGCTATTAAAACAAAATGGGATGCGCTGAGAGTAAGGACAATGATGAACCTCAAAACAATCGACCAAAATATAGAACATGCACAGACACATTTTGGCTAGGAATTTACATATTATTTTGGTTCTTTTTGGTAAATATAATTGTTTGTTAAAATATTTTATTAATAAAAAAATCTTTCAATACGTTGAGTTTTAAAAACAATGAACTGAAAAAAGTGAAAGTTAACAAATATTGCTGATGTCTAACATTACCCACCCCAAATACAACAATAACAATAATAAGACTTAAAAATTATGAACTCATGAGTGTACGCGCGCGGCATTAATACGATGGCGTCATCATTGTTATTTAAATTATGTGCAAATTGTCAAATATACAAATATATTTATAAATATATAAAAATAAAGATTTATAAATTTAATTTAATTTAATGACACATTAAGATTTCAGCAATCCAAGTAATATTAAATATTAAAAGTAATGAGCAATTTGAACGTTTCTTTCTTAAAAGTGTAAACGCATTTAGCAATATAATAAAAATTATATTTTTAATAAGATATGAAATATGTGTAGTTAAGGATAAATTGTAAAAATTTAAAATATTATTATATAGTTAAATAGAAGCAACAGCAAGTTTTATATACTTCAAATTTTTTTATATACATAATAAAAGTAAAGTATAAATACTTCAGTACTTAAATCCTCACTTTTCTTAATGCATAAAAATGTTCTACACATATTATATAAATTAGTATAAAAAGTAGTAGGTGTATCCGTAATATCTTATTTAATGTGGTGTACATTCTATACACATGCAAACAAAAATTTTGAATTAAAAGAATTGTTATTGCTAGTATGAAATATCTTAAGCTAAGGGTATTAAATAAATCAACAAACATATATCATATTAATATGGTTGTCTTAATTAAATAACTCGCTAATTGAGCACACATGAACGTTACGACATATTTGAATTCATACAAGCACTCGTATGTATACATATTCGTTTATGGCATTTAATATTTATTATACCAATAACTATTTAGTAACAGCAGGATTAATACTAAGATAGTTTTATGCTCCACCCACTTTAGAATACAACGCCAAAAAAAAAAAATGTACCCGCGCGCTATATACGTATTTTAAACGTTTAGGCTTAAAAATAGATTAATTAAATTAAAAATCAATACTTCTACTTAAAATGGATAAATAAACATGTATATATTTTAAATAAACATATTATAATATATGTATATAATCTATCATTTATTTAGATTGTTATAGCAATATTCTCTTTCGTGTACGGCAATCCTTTGCGTGTTATCAATGGATATGATTCTTTTGGTAATACATGTGGTGTTAAGCACAATGAGCGTTACACCAATTTCCCATTATCTGGCATGGATACAACAGACAAACCTGAGTTATTTTACTTTGATATTAAGCACTTAAAACAATCTATTAAGCTATGTGTAAAGGAATGTCCACAAAAAACTCTCACCAATCCGAAACAAGTATATGATTATTATTTGGATAGAAAAACTCAGTTATGTCGCTATGACTTTAATATGACTACGATTGATGATTCAATAATTAAATCATCAAACTTGGATAAATTTTTTGATTATTTAGGTCCATGCCCTACCTTTCCGATTTATGAGAGGTATGTTACAAAAAAAAAATGTTTTAAATTATATATATACATATATAACATTTTATTACTATAACCGATTTAGTACACCAGTTTTACATCGTTGTGTACCAAAGGGAAAGCAAGAACAAGCTCAACAGATATATAAAGTGCTCAATAACTGGGATGTTGCTCAGCAATTTTTAGGCGATATATACTCTACTTGGCATATAATTGCTGTAATATGTGGTATATCATTACGTATGTTTCGCATAACTTTATAAATTTTATAAATGAATAATTTTATATTAATGTCTTAAATTTTTTTCTCTATTTGTGAAGTAATATCTATTGCTTTAGTTATTCTAATGCACTGGTTAACTCGTATTGTGTCCTGGCTGATATGTATTTTAGTTATAGTAGCGAGTGTTGGGTTATCAGCAGCACTTTGGTATGCATACTATAATATACGCCACAAAACAGGCATTAACGTTCAATATTCTATGTTGGAGGAATTTGTGAGAAATGAACAGGCCGTATTTATATTAGCTGTACTGGCGACAATAACTATGGTAGAAAATTTTACAATTTTAGTGAAATTATGTTAAAAAAATAAATATTTTAAATATTTTTTCCTCCACAGATTATACTAATTGTAATTATTTATTTTCTTAAAAATAAACTTTCTGGTTTATCGGCATTGTTTGAAGAGGCTGGAGAATGTATGATGAGTTTACCTGGACTTCTTATCGCACCACTATTAGCTTTTATTGCTTTGGCAGTGTTTTTGTCATTTTGGGTTTTAGTAGTTTTATGTATTGCTACTGCTAGTGAACCTGGACAGAGTCCTATACAACCTTTCGATAATTCAGTTACACATCAACAAATTGATCTTACTCCTAAAATGAATAATGGAACGGACTACAAAAGTAAGGATGAAATAAAATACTTTAAATATTATTAATATAAATTGTGTGTTAATTGCAATAGGTAATCGTTCTAAAATTCAAAAAAAAAAAATTATTGGCAAATGCACAATTATTTGTAGTGTTTAGCTTAATTTAGATATAGTCATTGCAATATTAGCTTAAAATTAACTATATAAATCAAAGAAAAAAAATCATTATTTAAAATTGGCACATGCACAATTATTTGTAGTGTTTAGCTTAATTTAGTTATAATCATTGCAATATTAGCTTAAAAATAACTACATAAATTTCAATTTGTATTGTTTTCCCCAATATTAATTTTAACCCCAATTAACAAAAATTGATGGACAAATTCCTATGTGACACCGTAAGTTAAAGTCCAAGTTTGCTGCTTTGTTGTATTTTATGTTTAATTTATTTCATATATTATTGTATACTCATATTTTTATTATTGTATAGCAATTCTGCGGGTTGAATATACAGAACAAACAACTTTGCGTAGCATGTTTTGGGTGTACGTAGTGGCTCTAATATGGACTACTGAGTTTATTTTCGCCTGTCAACAGTTTGCATTAGCTGCAGCGGTAGCATTTTGGTACTTCAAAAAACCAACAACAACACCTACTACATACGCCATTGGTAAACTCGTAAAATACCATTTAGGTACTGTAGCTAAAGGATCTTTTGTAATAACACTTTTCAAAATACCGCGTTTAATATTGACATATTTATACGCAAAGTAAGTAAATATAGATTTTTATTAATTAATAAAATAATATGAAAAATTATACTACAGATTGAAGAAAGGGGAAGACAAAGGTTCTGAGTGTGCAGCTTGTTGTCTTAAGTGCTGTATATGCGGTTTTTGGTTGTTAGAAAAATTTATACGTTTCCTTAATCACAACGCTTACACTGTTGTTGCAATAGAATCAATAAATTTCTGTCCAGCTGCGGGAATTGTAAATAATTTAAAATATAAAAACTAATTTTATTATTATTATTTTTTAATAAACTATTTGTATTTCAGGCTTGGAATGCGATGGCTACAAATGTATTACAAGTTGCAACTATTAATAGCGTTGGAGATTTCGTGCTATTTCTGGGTAAAATTGTGGTAGCTGCTTTGTCTGGTTTAATTGGAATTTTTCTGTTGAAAGAAAGACCTGGCTTAAATTTTTATATAGCACCTGTAATACTTATAATCATTTTCTCATTTTTCATTGCACATATTGTTTTATCACTATTTGAGGTAAGTGTATTAGTTAATTTATAATAAGTTTTTAAAATAATGTATATTTAACAGATGGTTGTGGATACATTATTCCTATGTGTTTGTGAAGATAAAACAATTAATGGTCGTGCAGGCCGTTGGGCGCAAAGTAATTTAGCAAAATTACTTGGAGAAGAACCCCTTCAACCCGGTGAAGAGCCACCTATTCAAGTAGTTGAAATGATGCCCATTAATAAGCAGCCTTTTAGTATGACTAAAATAGGTTCAAGTGATGTTGTAGATGCGTAGAGGAGTATAATGCAAATGAACAATCAAAGTTTAAGACATATTTATTCGTATATACTTAAGAGTAATGTTAAAAACGTTTCCATTTTTGATGTTGAAAACGCACAATTTAAACGTATCCACATGTATATTATTTAAAAAAAAAATATTTGTTTAGCTTTTAATGTGATTCATAAAATTGTTTTCCTTTCAAACTTCCCTGTTTTTTTGTAAAAACAAGTAAATCTAACTTTTTTATTATAATTATTCTTCATCAATGTGCTTTATGTGAAAAACAGTCATAATGAAAATGTACAAAAAAAGGCATAATAAATATTAAATTTCATAAATTAGTTTTACATAAATCTCATTTTGAATATTTTTTTATTACAATTTTAATATTAAAAATAAACAGTTTTAAACTAATTCTTTGTAATTTTTGTTTTTCCTTTCTTTTTCTCTATAATTTCACAAGCAGCTTTCAATTGTTTTTCCTTTATTTTCTTTGTTAATGCCTCCTTAGGTTTCTTTTTGTTAATAACATCTTTTTGAACCTTTTGTTTTGCTTTTTCTTTTATACAAATAGAAAAGTATTTAGTTTAATTAATAAAAAAATATGTTACTAAAGAAAGTATAATTACTTTACCTGCTAAGAGTTTTGCTATTTTGATAGGATCGTCATTTTCAAATAATTCATCGTTTTCTAAGCCCTCGTAGGCATTTTGTGGTTGCGTAGCTTTTTGACGTACTTTTTGATCTACTCTGCTAACATATTTTTCTTTAGCCACTTTCTTAAGGGCTTGACGATGTTTCGCAGGACTGATGTAATCTGCGTTTTCCCAAAGCGTATTTCCGGAGAAAGATCCTTCAAATATTTTTACAGGATTCATAACAAATCTTGGTCCTACCTCAGCTAAACCACCATCTTCAGATAATATTTGAAAGTTACGGAACCATATACGTTTATCTAAATATGTAAACGTGAAGACATGATCTATAAATGGTTGGCTTTTAGGATGGTGATTTGGTACAGCAAACGTTTGCGTGAAAAGCTCTTTAATTAATTTTAAAAATGGAACTTCATCAAACTTAGCATCAAAAGAAAGTAGAGGACGCGATCCGCGTAGGCAATTGCCAGTCATTTTTAATTCAGCCATTGTGTGTATATTCTCTACAAGAAATTTAACTGATGGACCATTCGGTATATTAGATACCCACATATAAAGATCGCGTTTTCGTCTACCCTCGAACAATATAGTCTTATTACAGTGCTTCATTTCACACATTTCGTTAATAACTGAAAGAGTTTTGGACCTTTCCATTTTAGATTCTGGTCGATGGTGTGGCATCAGTGTTTTTATATCACGCATTAAATGTCTGTCTCTGTGATTAATACCTCGAGCTGCAAACACTAAGACGCGTTGCTTATTAACCCATTTTTCCTGTTATATACAAATTTAATATAAATTTTTTAGTAAATCTATAAAATAAAATACCCTTTTCGGCAAAGTTTCATCAGATGACCTTTGCGGTGGTAAAGGTGGATTTTCATCCATTGGAACAATTTCTAAAGGTTGTGGTTTATTTTTCTTTACAAATTTACGACCCATTATTAATAAATAATTGTAATTTTAATTTAAAACAAGAAGCAAAAACGAAAACTTCGTTCACACGTGTTTCACTGAGAAAAATCAAAACAAATTGTAAATAAGGGTTGTCGAGTAACAAATTTAATAAAAAAAAGTATTAGAATTGAAATTGATGATATTTTTAAATGAAATTTAAGCGGCCCTTCCACGGTTTAACATTATCTTACACCATTATATATATATCGAGTAGGGTAAATTTGATAAAAATTAAGTAAATTAGTTGTTGCCATTGTGAAAATTTTATAAGATGTTTAATAAATAAATATGAAAACTTTTAAACAAAAATTATCGCACACGGCCGTATATGAGTATAAAAAATGGATATATGCTGCACCCTTAAGGCCACTACAGACGATCAATTTGCATTATCATTCATTTCAAATATTTTAATGAAATATATTTGTATGCGAATACACTGACTGTGCTTTAAATGTTTGATAATATATAATAATACTATTTTTCTTCAGGCATTATATTATTGATAAATAAACGAAAACCCTTGTGTATGTGCATTTCAATACAGAATTTACCTCAAAAACACGATTTTATTCCAAATGGAATAAAATAAATTAACTATAAAATAATTTTTAAAAAATTTTTCTTAAAAGTCATGACAAATTTATTCTACAAAAGTCATTTCAGTAGCAGTAATCAGATAATCTGAATCAGACATAGCTGTGCACACAGTTTATATCCTATGTGTATCTTATGTATCCAGAAACTTTCCTATATATCAAATTGTTGATTCTATTTTTAGGAATCTTACTTTAGAGTTAACGAAAAATCCGAATCAATATTTGGGACAGGAAGCTTAACTTTTCTAAGAAGAAAGTTTTTTTCTTCAAAAATGAGATCTCATAACAAGAATAAACATAATACCATATGAATATCACTGCAGGAATTTATAGCTCTATGAATTCTTTTCTTTCTATTCCATTAATTAATTTGTAACTATTAAAATTATTCTAAATATTTTATGTTAGGAGTTAGCAAAACTTTCAACTACAACTATTATTATTTTGAATAAAGTAATGTATTTAGTTGATGCTCACAAATATGCATCACCCTTGGTTCTATAGCTTCCGTCAGTTACCTTGATCAATAGCTAACTGATAAGCTACTGGTCAAGGTAAGAGCAATAAGTTACGTCTATGGTGTTTTTACAAGATTGCTGAATTTTTTTTTAATATGTTAAAAAAATATATGTCGCAATGTATTAATTTAAAATTTCTCACTAGATCCCCTTCTTATGCCCTTTTCTTGCTCTTGCTCATTATTTAAGCTTATTACCATTATTGCAGTTTTATATGTGCAATTCAACAATTTCTTTATTATTATCATTAAATTTCTTTTTTGAATTTTGCAATATTAAAGCATTTATAAATTTAGAGATATGTGAATGGAAAATCTGAACTGCAGATCAGGATTACAAAATCTTGTTCGTAAATATTTTGTTTGTTAATTATATCGCTCGTATTTTTGATGGAAGGACCAGGTGACTAACGATATGAAATCACTCGGTAGGAGGCTACGCGGTCGCGGTCAATGCAGATTCATGTCTATAATAGCGAATTAAGTAATTGAAACAAAACCATATTTTCATATGTTATATTCGAAAAGTAATAACAAATTTTATACATAACAAAATTTAAACCACACATTCATTAGTGTTTTTTTATATATATATTGATTTTAAGGATCAGATAAACAGATTGATTTATCTATCACACTTAATAACTATAACATACTATGTTTAATTTACTCCACAAGCCAACAAATTTTTTATATAATTTTGAGAAAAGTTATTGTTAAGGAAATATTATATAAACATAATATTAACCCTCAATTTAACATTTTAAATATAGAGTACAAAATTTTAGTTTTTTATGTTAAATTATTCCATCTTTTACCTTTATTAGAAATAATTCAAGATTATATTAAACCTGTAGAACTGTAATTAGTTACATAAAAAAAATTTTTTTTTTTTTATTTTATATGGTAGAAGATTCATTATAAATATTTTTGATTTGTTCTTTCTGCGCTAAAGATAATAAAAAAATACACTTATACAATACTAAAACCCTGAGTTTGTTGTATTGCTTGTAGTAGTTTGTATTTCAGTCTTTCCTTAGTTTTGTAACGAGGCAAATCGAGCAGATTGAAACACGTATGCGCTACTGGTAAAAACTTATCGTCCGATGTTGGCTGTATATTGATCTATAAATAATGAAATAAATATTGGCATAAAAAAAAGTATTATAAAAGTGCATTCTTACTTTTACAGCTTTCATGCCTTGTACAGGTATTCTATCACTTCCAGTTAAATACAATAAAAATTTCTTTTTTTCAACTTCAGGCAGCTCATGAAGCACTTCCCAAAACCATCGTACCTACAATTTATGAAATATATAAATTTTCTAAATTTTTAACTAAAATTTACCGTCTGATCTGATGAAGTGTAACCATTTTTGTATTCACAACTCTCCTCAAATGCGTGCCAATCATATTCCTCGTTACCTGTAACAACTGCCATAAGTTCATGAGGTTTAAATAATTGCAAAACTCTTCCCAAACAAACCTAAAAAAAATATTTTCATTATTGCACAAAATTATTGATGAAATAATTTCTAGTATATTATGAAAAATCTATATAAATTTATATATTATAAAAATCTATATAGTATAAAAAATCTATATAAATCTATATATTATATATATGTCTATATATGAAAATAAAATCCTTTACTTACTTTCATAAATCCAGCCTGAAATGCTTTAAATTGATTATCCACTGATTTATTAAATATGAAATCAATATACAAGTCAACAAATTCTTTTCTAAAATATAGTTTTAACATAAAAAGATATACATATAAAACATAAATACAATACTCAACCTATTTAGGCTTGTCACTTTTATATTTTCGCCACCAGGCTTAAGTGGTACTGATGTTACTTCTCCAAAGATATCTTGCGATATTTCAAAATTTAAATCAAATATTTCTTCAAAGTCATCACCCTCATAATCAAGTATACTCTGCATTGAATTAGCTAATTCAGTAGATAAATCGCGTAAATCGCTTATATCAACAGGTTCTTCAAGCAGTTTCTTGTATAGAGCAAGTGGAAACGGCACATTTATAATAGTAAAATTATAGATTGCAAGACCGCAAATGACACCAATTAAAACGTACATGTCGCTACCCTCAAAAGTCACATCCGCAAACCAAAGTGCACGACTTTCTTCATATATTTTAAACATTCCATATTTTGGGTCAAGTAGATCTTTTAAGAGTAACATAAAGAATTCTTTTCTTACTCCACCAGCATCTTCGGCCTCTTCATCCTGAAATTTTATCTGTAAGGAAAGAAGATTTAATTACAGTAAATATAAATAGAAGAATTGAAATTTTCCAGTAGACGAAATTTTATAGTTTATGAAGTTTTTTTGTAAGCGTTATTAATGTAGAGATTTGTAAATTAAAGCATATTTTAAAATTAGAGATATTATGCTATATACATATATAGCGTAATGAATAAAATTGTTTAAAGAAACGAACATTTACTAAAATTGATTATCAAATAGTGGCACCAGTGATCGGAATATTTCTGATACATAAATCTTATATATTCAATGCTATCTTATGTTTAATGTGTAGTATTAAACATAGATAGCATATATAACATAAATCAAAATCATAGTTACCTTTAATGGTTTTTTCAAATCTATTTCTTTATAATTGAGTATTTCACGTAAAGTATCTTGTACTATATTCTCTCTAGTAACATTTAATACAACGTATTGTGTACTGGTGGTACAATTTGAAAAACATGACAATAAGGCCTAGTAAGAGAAATAATATATATATATAAATGATACTTGTTGAATTATAAATGAAAAATACCTCATTATGTGAATCTTGTATGGCTTTATGCATTTGTAATGCTTGATCAGTTTGTAGAATTGTTGTTTTAGTCGCTGCATCAAATAAAAATGGATAATTACATATATTGAATTGCTCCGGCTGAAAGTGCAGAAATTAAATGCTTATTAGTTGTAAAATATTTATATATTCATATATATGTCATAATATATTTACAGATTTATCGAACAACCAATATACATAATCTTGTTGTATATCAACATATTCCATAAGTTCCGGCCAATTAAAAATCTCGTAACATATTTTTTCTTTCCGTAGTTTGTGATTGATATAATGCAAAAAACCTAATAGATTTAATGCCGTAAGTAAATGATAATTATAGGTGACGCACTACAAAATTCGAATTTTATTTTATTTGAAATATAATTTATATAAATGTAGAAAAAGATTATTACTCTTTTAGTAGGATTATTAGAAGAATTTGGTGGCATTTTGATTGTTATAATATATATCACAACATTTTTATAATTAGAAACAATATTTTCGAACCAGTCACATGGGGCGTTGGTCCACCAAGAGCGAATGATTTTCTTTGGAATTTCAGTAAGTCGGTCAACAGCATTGCTAAATGGTGTATGCAATTTTTCATACTTTTTAGAATTTATAAATTCATGATATAATGGCAATGTTAAGTATATACGTAAGGTTTCGAAATCTGCTGGCACTGTCGTTAATGATTCCATCAAATCTCCGTAAATTTTTTCGAATATCTAGATGAAAGATGTGATTATTTACTTTATAAAAGTATATGTACTTTGATACTATTTACAATATTTTTTAAACTTTCATTTTCAATTTTACGTAAATAAGAAAACACAGTAGAGGCATCCAGAAAATTTACGCCATTGTTTTTTATGGAGCAACAAAAATGTTTGCTATTATCTAAAAGGAATGAACTGTTCCAACAAGCCATACTTTTGAAAGTATGCTCAACTATAGTTATTAAATCCATGTCAACTAAAATATCCTTCTGAACTGCAGCACACTGCATAGCCAAATCGTTGGTGATTTCCAATATTTGAGTTGAAGAACTACAAACAAATTCCATGAGTTTTATTTAGCAACACATGTTATAAATTCTAACCTATAGATTCGGAAATCTACGGATGGAATTTTGCTTTCAAAATCAGTCGTTATACAAAGTGATTGATCTCCACCGGAAAATATTTCTTTAATTGAAACATTATCCTTATTTTCGCTTTTGATTAAGGCTGATCCACTTGGTGAGACCTAACAGTATAAAAATATTTCTGAACTATATTAAGTTTTATTGTATAAGTAATTATACGAACCCAAGGTCCTATCACAACTTGAGGCACACTAACACTATTAGTAACACGCGAACCTAATTGTCCACAGCATCCAAGGCCAAAGCCGTAAACTCGACCACGAGACGGCACTAAAGCTAAAGTATGTCGTAAACCACATGCAATTTGCGTTATAGTACTACCCATAAGTTCGCACACCATACGCGGCAAGACTTCATTGGATTTACCGCCATGGCCCAATTGACCATAAGCACCACTTCCGCATGTAAATACTCCTCCATCATTTGTTAAAAATGTAGAAAATTCTTCTCCGCAGGATATATAGCGTACAGCTAAATTTCGTAAAGTTTTTAAATGCGTTGGATAGCATCGATTTTCTTCGTCACTAAGTCCTAATTGGCCTTTATTATTCAGTCCCCAACCATATACTGCACCCGATTTTGATATAATAAACGAATGATTCCCACCACATGCTATGTATGCTATTGGAATTCCTTGTATTGTTGTAACTAATTGTGGAGAATTCGACTGTTTTTTTACATTTGAAGGTGCTACTCCCAGCTGACCAAACGCATTGCTCCCCCAGGAATATAATTCACCACCTAAAAAATATGTGTATATTAAAAAAAAAAAAGCTAATATAAATGCAAAACTTACAACTTGTCAAGCATAAAGTATGATTATTTCCACAAGCAATTTGTATTATTATTTTAGGTATAAGTAACTTTATAATTTTAGGAGTTGGTATCGTATCATCAAGTTGACTTAAACCTAATTGGCCACAGTGATTCTCACCCCATGCAAATATCTGTCCCCATTCGCTTAAAGCTACAGAATGCTGTGCACCGCAAGCGATTTTTGTTATCTTATAATTTTTTAACTCTGGTATAAGCTCTGTAAATTGTAAAAAGAAATCTTTTAAGATTAAAATTCAAAGTAGATTGAAGTCTATTAAGTGATGTAATAATAAAATATAATGTTGTGAAACATGTATCCCCTTACATTAAATGTGCAATTAGTATAGATTTGTATGAAAGCCTTTTTATGATATATATGATATATAATGAAAATTTTGTACATAAATTTTATTTGTACAACGTGGTGTGAAATAGGATACGTAGTTTTGATTTGTTTACGTCATATTTAATAAGAATATAAACGACTTTAATAATAAAAATGGCCAAATATTTATTTACTGATTTTAAGTTAGAAAATTGTATTGCACATAGTATAGGAAAGATATAAGAGTATAATTACTATAAGCTGGTAGAATGTGAATAGAATGAATATATATTTATATGCATATATATATACATATATGTATAGATATTTACAATTCCTAAGAAACACATAAAAGTGTTATATTGTAGTCTCAATTCTGTATATATGCTTATATGTTTCGGCTTGTGCATACAGAAAATCATTAATTGTGTTTATCACTTATCTATCCATTTTTAGCATATCCAATTACATTTATCGTTTCTTAGAAAAGTTATATTTTTCCAATAGTCGTTAGTGTACAAATGCTTAGTTAAATTCAATGTGAAATAAATGTGTAAATAATATATGTATATGGTAAATGAGATGATATTTAAGCAAATGATTAAGTACATACTAAACTTAGACATACGTGGCCGTTTCGTTGGCAGTTCACCTAATTGGCCTAATTGACCATTATCATTGTTACCACAAGAATACACTTTTCCATCAACTGTAAGAAAAAGTGTATGCCATTTTCCACATGCTATGTGGCATATACTTGTGTCAGGCTTCCAAGACATTTTGCGAGGTATCAGTATCTTCAACATATATAAAATTATTATATCAAATATCGTATTTACATAAACATTACTTACATGCTCTTCTTCAATACCTCCAAGTCCGAGCTCCCCATGGACAGTATTCCCCCAACAGTATATGGACATTGTTCTTTATTTTTTATACGCTCATTCGTATAGTTATCAAATTATTTTCTGAAATGTTTTATTATAAACACATTTGTACTGATTGTCGCCGTTATCTTTTGTGGTTTTGTTAATTTTGACATAAAATGTGTAATATCCAATCTTCTTGAAAATTCTAGATCATTGTATCAATGTTTCTTAATGTTAATAAATTATTACTTGTCAAACATTTACTTATTTGTAATTTATTATATGCATTTAATAATACGTACACAATATGTAAACAGAAAATGCAAGGCACAAAATAGTTCCAAAAAATATAGAATGAATATCAAATTTAGGACATTTTCTTTTAAATGCGATTTTTTTATGAAGACCCAAAAAAAAAAACAATCTGAAATTTTGACGTTTGGCTATGTGTTGCCAGCTGTTTCACCCTATTTCAAATGTACTCATAGTAATAATATAGTTGGCATATATAAAAATAGTTGATAAGTATATTAATTCAAATTACAGCAAAAATTTAAGGTTTGATAAATTTAAAATATAGTTTGATATATTTTTAAATGGAGAAAATTTTAATTTATTCCTATTATAAGTAAGTTATACACAACACAGCAATTTTAATTTTGATTATAATGTTCTTTCGACTTCCAACGTTACAAAATCCAATTAAATTTACAATCCTAATCCATACATACATCGGACAACGAAAACCAGATCATTACAAAACAAAAATGACTACAACTACAAAAACAAAAATGAGAATTAAAAATGATTTAGCAAAGCTTGCAAACTAATAAAAATCACTACCAATGGATAATGTCATTAAAATTCAATTAAACCTCAATAATTGTAAGACGCACATTATTAACATCCAGAAAATGCGATGAACCAACCAAGTGGATAGTTATAAAATAAAATAATTTTATTATATATTGTAAAATTTTGTGTTATTGCAATAAGGTTTGTAATATGCTTTAAGAATAAAAACGAATTTAAGAATAAAAGCGCAATGAAATTATTATTTTACATGTATATAGTATATTTAAAGTGATATTGTATTATACCATGTTTACATTTCGAATTTTAGTGACCGAACTTTACTATTTCTCTCAATTTAGTATCAATTTACTTGAACTCGCACAAGACTTTAATTATTAATTTACTATAATAACACTTAAGGCCGTGTGCAAGTTCGAGTAAATTGATGGTAAATTGAGAAAAATAGTAAATTATGTCGGTATAGCAGCGAATGTTAATATTTACCAGAATTTTAAAAACTTTTAACCAAAAATAATAAATAAATGAAATAAATAAATATTTACATAAGTGCAGTACAAAAATTCCTGAGAAAATTCCATTTACTTTACCTCAATTTACTCGAACTCGTACACGGCCTAAATATTTGAATGTTTATATTTGATACTATTTTAAAAAAGTACTTTATTAAAATCACTTTTATTTTATTATATAAAACCCTATATGGTGAATGCCTTTGTTTGACAGCTCTGCATTTTTGACATTATCATTCTGCTCCGTTGCTATTTCGTGTTGATCAAAAATATAAGTGGCGTGTTTTATTTAGAAGAATTTAATTTTATATTGACGCTACCATACTAATAGTAGGCCTAATGGCTTTTCCAGCATTAAGCGCACAACAAGGTTTGTATAGCATGTATTTTATATTTTATTAAATCTCTGAATAAACTATATATAAATGTTTTTCAACTAAGAACCACAGTTCCTTTTAACTAATTTGGAATAATGAAAAAGTGTTAATTGGTTTAAAAGTGAAGTTTTAAAGAGTTTATACAAATTATGCATTATTATAAAAATATGTTTATTTAGTTATATTGTTTGAAATTCCATTATAAGGGAAATAAATGGCATAAAGTTGCTGTATATGTTTAGGTTTTTCGATATCGTTTCCGTAATTCAATGGATATTGTCACTTCACATTTATCGCATTATTAGTTTATTTATTCAAGTACTTATTGCGAATATTTTGTTAATTAATAATTTAATTTAATTATAATTAGAAACTACACAACGAAAAGTCCTGGAAGACGTTAGAAAACAACTTATTCATAAAGGAGTACCACCAGTAACAGGATTAGGCACAGGCTTAACTCCACCCGTTAGCCAAGTATGTAATTATTTATTTCCTTAAACAATTGTCAATAACGTTGTTAATATTTCTAGGTGCCTACAACGCAAATAATTGGAACATTACCTGATTTCGGACCTGGCACCAGTGCCGCAACAACACCACGCTCAATTTTTAATCCAAATAGCGCATCTACTTTAGGGTTTTTTATACCTCAAGATAGTTTTTTCGGTAACAACTTTATACCAGTGTTACCTCGGCTAGAGCCTTCGTCACCAAATCAAACGCCTAAGTAATTTCTTTTAATATATATCACAATTACTGACACAATGGCACGAATTAAACTAAAAAAACTTGAGGAATATTTACAAGGTGTTGATGGCTTTGAACAACCTAAAGTTAAGTTAGAGCAATATCCTACACCACCGCATATTGCCAGTTGTGTTTTATATAATATACAAGTAAGTACAAATGTTTATATTAGTAAAATAACATAATTTATAAACAATAAAATGCAGGCACAGTATGACGATATTGATGGTAAATTAGTTGGCGATTTAGGATGCGGTTGTGGTATGTTAAGTGTTGGTTCATTTTTACTTGGTGCTCAACTAACTATAGGTTTTGAAATTGATACTGATGCTATAGAGGTAATTATTATTTTGTCTGTTAAGTATAAATTATACAAAGTTATAATGCAGGTATTTCGTTCTAATATAAATGAAATGGAATTGTCATCTATTGATTGTATACAAACTGATGTGTTAAATCTAGCAAATACTAAGTGGACAAATTCATTTGATACTATAGTAACAAATCCTCCATTTGGAACCAAAAACAATGCTGGTATAGATATGCGATTTGTAGAAAATGGTATAAAATTGGCTACAAATGCAGTTTATTCTTTACATAAAACTGCGACGAGAGAATATATTAAAAAGAAGTGCAAAGAATGGAACGTTGTTGGGGAAGTTGTCGCAAAACTTAATTATAATATTGACGCATCATATAAGTTTCACAAAAATAAATCAGTCGACATTGAAGTAGATTTTTGGAGGTTTGACGTAACGGAAAAAAATATTTAATTATTTTCATGCATGTAGGCTAATTAATTTTAAAATAAATTTTATAATGAATTAATTATATATTTTATTATAAATGTTATAAATTTATAAAATAAGATGAGTATATTTCACAATTAGCTATCATATTATATTTTATTTGATATCAATGAATGGGTACTATAAATAGTCAGAGAAATGTAAAAATGATTGTTTGTTCGTATTATTAACATAAATGAGTTTAGAGCTATTTAACTTCTAATTTTTATAACTTTGATTTCTTTGTATGAACTCTTAAACTCTTTTTGAATTCTTTATTTTTGAATGTTGGTTTCTGCATTCATATGGAGGACTTTCAAATACTCATATATCATTTGTAGTGATGTTTATGGTTCCGTTATATGACAAACCACGAAATATCACACAACATATTTAAAATTTTGTTTATAATAAATAAATATTTAATTTTTAAGCCCTAATTTTTGTTCGAATTACCCAACAATAAAATTGAATTGAATTTTTGATATAATAATCTGTATCTAAATTAAATTTCTACATTAAATTTCATTTAGAATTTATGATTATTTTGGATCTGATAGATAGGTAGGTAAAAAGATTGAACAAAAAACATACAAGTTTCTCGTACAACATGAATTTTCTTTTCTAATAAATCGGCGATTTGAAAGCTTTATATAAAATTTTACAGATAGATATCATATCAGATATATATTAGACATTATATCAGTTAAATTTCAGATATATCGGATAAATATTAAATATTATATCAGATAAATATTAGATATTTATTGGTGTATTTCGATACACTTTAAACTTATTTCAACGAAGTAACTTTTATAACTGTATAGATGCTCTATTAATACTTTGGAATGGTTCCTGTTCCTTTTACAAAAACAAAAAAATAAAGCCTACTATATGCGGTTTAGAAGTTTTTGAAATAAAAACTGCAAAATGATTATATTTTCTATATTTTACTTTAAAAAATATTTTATTCCACATTAAACACAACACCTTGTGCACATGCTAATTGGCCGGAATGATTTACTGTTATCGTAGCACGTTTGCAGTATTGTTTCCAAGCATCAGAACCAGATTCACGTCCGCCACCGGTATGCTTCTCTCCGCCAAAAGCACCACCAATTTCAGCACCATTTGTTGTTGTATTTATATTGACAATACCGCAATCTGAACCTTGTGCACCTATCCATTTGAATGCTGTTGAAATATCTTCTGTAAAAATGGCCGATGAGAGACCTTGTTCAACCTCATTGTTCCATTCTATGGCTTCATCAACAGATTTAGTTTTAAGTATATAAACGATGGGTGCAAATGTTTCTCTATGCACTACATTTGAATTATGTGGTAAGTCTGTTATAATTGTAGGTTCAACAAAGAAACCTTTTCCTTTTAAAGCTTTACCACCAAATGCTATTTTTCCTCCTTGTGCTAAGGCCTCTGAAATTGCGTTATTATAATTCAAAACATTTTGTTCCGTATGAACAGGTCCAATTAATGTGTTTTCATCTAATTGATGACCAGTTCTAGTTAAAACCTAAAATGAATTGTGAATAGTTGTCAATTTTATATCTAATTTAATTTTCGTTGAAGAACAATTTACCTGTTTGTACTTTTTCGTAAGCTCCTGCACAAACTGATCATATGATTTTTCATGTACGATAATACGTCTGGTTGTGGTGCATCTTTGTCCAGATGTACCAATACATCCAAAGAGTGCTGCATCAATAGCCATTTTTAAGTTTGCATTATGATCCACAATTAAAGCATTATTGCCACCTAATTCTAAGAGGACTTTTCCAAAACGCTGTTGTACTTCAACTCCAATTTGTTTGCCTGTTTGGCAGCTACCGGTAAATGAAACAAGCTTGACTCGATTATCCGATACAAGCTTTGAGCCTACGTCAGCTCCACCTTGGCATAGAGTAACAATAGGTGGTAACTTATTTCGTTTTAATACTTCAGAAACAATTTTTGTCGTAGCAACTGAAACTAGTGATGTAGTTGGTGCACCTTTCCATAAAACAGTATTACCAGTTGTCTAAGAAAACATTTACAAAAATAGCAAATAAATCTAATATTTGAGTTATATATTTACAAGTGCTATGGCGGCATTCCAACCGAAAACAGCATTTGGAAAATTGTACGCTGAAATCACACCAACCAATCCCAATGGACGCCATGCTTCTAAGATTGTATGTTCCGCACGTTCTGAATTTATCATTTGTCCCGAATAAATGCGTGAAAGTCCTACTGCATAGTCACATATATCTATAAATTCTTGAACTTCCCCTTGCCCTTCGCTATAGATTTTACCAACTTCCAAACTGACCAGCTTACCAAGTGGTTCTTTGTATTTACGTAATTCGTCACCTATTTGACGGACAATTTCTCCACGCACAGGTGCTGGTACTTTACACCATTCCTTATAAGCTTCAACACCAGTTTTTATAGCTTCATTCATTTCCTGTACCGTACCCATGCGTACATTCGCAATGGGCTCTCCTGTGCCAGGATCGATTGAAGTTATAGTTTCGCCTGTACCTTTCCATGCCGTGGTATAAACGCCGGGATTTTCACGTTCAAGGCCTACCTCTTTAAGAAAAGCATATTCTGGAGAATCTATTAGATAGCTTTTAGTGTTTGAACTTGAAGTTGTATGTATGGTTGCTGAAAATGACCGAAGTGCTGTATTGGGAATTTGCTTGATTATTGCTCCCAAATATCTTAGTTGTGCCATTCTGTAAAAAACGATTCTTTTTTAAAAGATTAATTGTTTTTTGGAATTCACATTACTGCAGTTAATATTAGCAGTTAATATTATTTAACCACTTACAATTAATAATTTCTATATAATTGTAGTCCTGTACCCATACGATACTTAGAAATACAGCATTTAATAATGTGAAATCAGCAAAAGACAGGTAATAACTTAATTAGTTAAACACAAATAGGCTTGTTTAGTCTGAGATGTGGGGTATATTTTATATATGTATGTTTTCATTAAATTTGTTCTGTTTTCTAAAGTAAACTGGCTGATAACGATTTAAATTATGTTGATTAGAGCACTAACTACAACAAGATTTTCATATCTGTTTTTATACTATATAACGAATGTTAGATTGTTTATTAGCTTGTTATTATATTTTAATGATAACAATATCAGTTCATAGATTTTTGCTCAACAACAAGCTTGTATATTTATGAAGTATGGCAGGCCTCTCAAATACAATATACCACATTGAAATATTTATCTGAACTTACTTATCAAACTGGATAGAGATCTGTATTCACCGGAATTAATACAATTTCTTCAACGTCGGCTCGTATGGCTTAGTGTCATCGAGTTGCGAATTAAACTAAATCAGCCTTTCATTTTCAATATATGTAGAGAGAATAATTTACAAAAGTTGAATTCTTATCAATTATGATACTTTAAAAATAACAAAAAATATCTGCTGAAGTACTTTAAAAGACGTGACCCAGCAAACAAAAAGAAGATAAATTCTTAAATGCTAGTTTTGTACAATATATGCTCTGGTTATAATATATTATTATTAATAGAACACAAGTAATTTTCTTCAAAATATGTATATACTAGTTTTTAAACCATTTTATTTTAAATCAGGTAGACAAAATCAGATAGTATCTCCTGTAACGAATGTCTATCAGTACTCAATGAAAAGACACCAGAAAACTTGATCAGACTAGGCTTAAATTTTTGGGGTGTATCAGCACTCAAAGAAAAGACACCAGAAAACTTGTAGTGTCTATATCCAGGCTTGATCAAACTAGACTTTAGTTTTTGTGGGCCTCCTTCTTTAACACACTTAGCGACATCTTCAGCATTAGCATTGGCCAGACCCTTGTCTTTGAAAATGCTTCTGTCTGGTTTTAGCTTGACCAGCCATATATATATTACTCATATATTAGCCTCAATATTAATGTATTGAAAGAAGTATTTACTAACAAACAAAATCATGTATTATGTAGGGAGCATGAGAATTTTAGAAAGGCTTAGCTGGGACACTATATAAAAGAGAGATTGCAAAGACTCATATAGCAGAGAGATTGAATGTTTTAACAGAAACTTTGTTGGAGTTCACTGTTTAAAGGAGAATGTATAGTCTTTCTTATAGTATCCAATCTTATCAGGGGGTGGAACTATAATTCTTCGAAAATATTTCTTTGAGCATCCTGAATAATTAATGGATACTAATTTAGGAAAAAAAAATAAATCAAATGATAAAGGTGACTCGTGAACCAACACTTGATATTGAAAAACCCACCATGGAAAACACTAAATCACTAAGATAAGAATCACGTAAAAACGAGAATCCTAAGTAAACGCAATAATCGGGGTATTTGGAACCTTATACCGAATGTAATCTAATATTTCAAACAATTTAAAACTAAATCTGTGCTTATATCTATTATTGTATAGAAATATAACAAAATGTGTGCTTATAGAAATTTGAAATCATTTGCCAGCTTGGATTCAACTGAGTTACTGTTGATTAAATCATAAAATACTTTATTGTGGCTGCGTCTATGGCAAACAACACATTGCAGTTGTATACTTTTTAATGCACGGACTTAATAGAGTTTCTTTAAAATAATACGAGATAAATCTATTATATGATGTGCATTTATGTATGCAGCATTATATCATACAAACATAGAAATTTGTGCACTACTCTTCGTTTCAGACGGTGTGGTATGATAAGACCGAATACATTCGTAAATGTTTTTAATTTCTTTGTAGTCTTTATCATTGGAGAGGATTTTAAATTTTATTTTGTATGTATAATTTGTTTTAAATTTCGTGTACACTACACTCAGTATAGTTGGCTACTACATATATGATATATTTTCGTTCAGGAAGAAGTGATATAAAGTTAGAGTACTACAAGGACAGCTAGGATTAAATACAGCTAATTTTATAAAGACTGTGTGTTTTATTCTATAATATTTTCTATCATATTTTAATATACTTGTATAATTTTATTATACTTGTAAACTAACATTGAGTTTATTCTAAATTTTTCTAATTTAAAATAAAAAAAAACAAATAGGTTTTTATAATAAAAGATGATTTCATTCATACAAATTTTGTTAAACTCAATAATTAATTTTATTAAGTAAATATATTGTCATTTTTATTTAGGAAATGAATTTACTGCTCCAACACGAGTTATTCCATGCGCGCATTACTTTGTTCTGGTGTTTAATTCATTTACTTTAACAATCGATTTTTAAATGATTTATACGTTGTTCTTATCATTGTGTTTTGCCCGTTGATCGCACCTATTTTCACTCACTGTTTTCACGTTCATCTAATAAATGCGTTTTAGTCCCACTTCTATGTTTTTTTATCATAAGATCTTAATAAACAGATATGTCAATGGGTTCAAATGTTGCCTACAACATTCAACTTTATTCAAAATATTCCATAAAAATTTCATTAAAATCCATCAGATAGATTTAGAGCATATAAATAATAAGTGCATGTATAATAAGTATGTTATTAATTTCTGAATGATAATATAATATAATATTGAGAGAGAGAGCGAGAGAGAGAGAGAGGGAGCGAGAGAAAGAGAGAGAGAGAGAGAAAGAGAGAGAAAAAACAAAACAAAACAAAAAAAAATTGTTAGTCCAAAATAATTGTTTGACTGTCTTAACAGTTGTATGATGGAGTTATTATCAACAAAAATTTATTTTTTTTTTTAAAATATCGGTTTATGTATTAGTCATAAACGATGAAAAAAAAATAATTTGTGAAACAAAAAAAAACTATAATTTTAGTCCAAATAAATCAGGATCTCTAGTACACTTGTATGAGTGGTCCTAGTTTTGGAGTTTTGCAAGATCCCCAGAAGTCTGCATGGTTAGCTCAAAAGTGTAATTATCGAATAATTTATATTATTTTTTTATAAAATTATATGGACACTCCTTCGAAGAGGATAATATGGTAAAAATATATTTTTGAGGGAGAAAAACTTGATTAAAATTATTAATCGAAATCGATGTCGCCAATTTTATTCAACTAGCAATTGTCCATTTTCTTTAAAAAGTAAATATCATTCTTATAACAATAATAGTATTTCAGTCAAAAATATACTGTTGCAATCCATCATCTATCTTGTTTCCAGTAAACGTAGGGCCTCGTTATAATGTACTTGTAATAAATAAAGGTTTTAATTTGATTAAAGTTTAACCAGATAAAGTAAAATAAAAACAAAGGGAGTATCTATAACATTTATATAACATAATTTTTTTGTGATATACTATTTTTTTTGTAAAATTTTGTGATATGAATTTCATAGTAATAGTTCATAGTAATAACTAATATTTTAAAAAAACTCGAAAAATTTTAAATAAAATCTTCACAGTGCTAAGTTACCAACTTTGTTTAATCAATAATAATATATTACAAACAATTTCCAAATGCAGTGATATCAAAAAACAGTTTCTTTCGAAGCAAAAAATAAGAGAAATATTAGTGCTGGTATAAATATTAAATAAAAATCGAACCATGGAGGTAATGGAAGAAGGAAATCTTATGGACCGAGTTCCTATATTGTTGCAGCGTGATTTGCAATATTATCAGGTATTTTTTAATTATAATATTAATTTTTTTTAGGCCAACAGTATAAAAATTTATTTTATAAATCTATAGATATCACAATAATGTTAAATTATTGCGTATTATCGTATTTTTTTATTATTCATACGATTGTTGAGTTATAAACAATTTTCATACAACGAAAAATACATAATATTATTCAACGAACTCTGTCATTACCGTGAATATATTTAAATAAATATATTTATAATATATATATATAATGAAATATATAGTATACATGTATATTTAAGTCAAAGAATGTAATAACTATATGTCATCCAAAACAATTTACCTCAGTGAGGAGAGGTTAAATGTCGTTGTGCTGGGACTGCATAGGGTTTCTAGTAGTGTTAAAGTTATGAGTCTAGAGATAAAAGGAGGTATTTTATTGTATTCTGATATATTGCAATTTTTTATATAAGGATATAATAAAATAAAGTTTTACAGTATATTACAGTTTGGATAACAGTAAAGACCTAAAATAATTCTATGATTCTCTATTCCGCATTCTCTATTCCTTATAATGAAGGAAGAATGTTTTGGTTTTATCCATCATGACATATATTATATATTTACATTAAAGTTTATAATAACATTTTGATAATTGCTAACTATATACAAGTCATTTAAGGGTTAAAAGTCCCAGAAATGTACTCAGAAATTGATATAATGGTGTACTACGACAGATTTATTAATTGTTTTGCGGTATTATAGCAGCATTAACAGGTTAAAAATTAACGGAAAAGTAACTAGAATTATTATAGCCTAGCAAACTTTAGGTTATTGTCATCGAAAACATTCTCTCAATACTTTTATTACCCCTTATCAGCCCAACTTTATTTTATTTTTATTAAATTATTTAATTGTTTTCTCATCACTACGGTATTTAAGGATTAGTAGAACCCGAAGTCTATTTATACTAGCTTAATTGTTGTATGTCACAACTATCGGTATGTATCAGAATTGCTATCTTTTATTTTAATTTTGTGTTATAATATTTGTCAGTAAAAATAGAAGAAAAACTTGGCAAGTTTGTTTGCATATACCATTTTCTTCGGTCTACGAATGTATATTCTAATATGCAAAATACTATTGGTGATTGCAATCTATAGCATTCATAAAAAAAGCTAATGGTAAGATTAAATATCTCAATATATCATGATTTTATGATTTATAATATCGTTTAATACAATATAGTTATGTAAAACCGTACAGAGGTATGATTTACTAATTGCTATATATTTTACGACATAATACATAATATAAATGACATAATACGAAATTGAAGTTATTGTATAAAAAATTAAGTATAGGAAAATCTCTACCTCGACCACAGAGATATTATAATAAATAAAGTCTGCACATTTTTAATAAGAAGTGATACACAATAAAAATATCGGATCTGGAACAAAAATATAAACAACCTACAATTACGTTAAATACACTTAAAATGAATGAAAATCTGTTGTTATACATAAGGAAATAAGGTAACAAATGACAAATAAAGAAAGGTATAAGACAAAGAGAATTTTTAAGCTACATGCTTCTTGCTACATTTATGGATGCCATTAAATACAAAAAAATAAGAAACAGAGAGTTAGATCCCCAGTCAATGTACTACAAACAATTTGTACAGACAACATTGTAATAATTGGGGAATCGTTATATAATGTATGAATAGCATTGCGCGAAAGTGAGGAATCCTTATTAGAAATTGATATATATGTATTTTTAAGTCTGGTTCATTGCTACCTGTAATCTATATAATGAATTAGCTATTAAAACAATATCGTCTGTATATACAAATACCACAGCGGTAACAAGAACAGATAACTAAATCCCCATATTCAATGTACTGTCAAGCATTTGTATCTATATATAGATGACCTTGTACGGGCAGCTGATTCGTTACAAATTCTACATGTGACATTAAACGATTATAAAAAATTCTTGTTGAAAATAGAAGAGGTCTGATAATTAAGTATAAGATTTGCCATAACCATAGCTATTCCCATAGCCAATGTACGATCAAGCATTTGTATCTAAGTATATATAGATGACCTTGTATGGGCAGCGGATTCATTACAAATTCTACGTGTGGCATTAAACGAATATGAAAAATTCTTGTTGAAAATAGAGGAGGTCTGAGAATTAAGTATAAGATTTACTGTTATTTTTGAAAATAATTTTATTCTATAAGTGTGAAAGATGTCCCACACAGACAGAAAAGTTACAAGATAAAATTCTGATGAATAGGTGTCCCAGTTTGACATGAAGAATGCATAATAGAGAAAAATACAAAAACAGAAAGGAAAAGGAATATGATTCTAGATATCAAATGAACTGTAAAAAATCGGGCTGAATATCAAAACTTAGTCTTTATTCACCGCATGTAGGAAAGCCAAAAGTCGATTTGAAGAGAAATACTCTAATGAAAAAACAAACTGATAATTTTGTTTATGAGCAAAATAATTATTTAGAAAGTGCCGAAAGTGACGTATCTTATGACGAAAAGAAACTATTCGAACAGAAATGAAAAGACAACAACAAAAATTTTAGTTATTTTATTGAAATTTGGCAATACTTGGCATTACTCGAAACAGCGTTGTATCTCAGCCAAACTTCAATAAATTAACTAATATGTTTATTTTTGTCTTTTCATTTCTATTCAAACTCTTCTAATATTATATACTATTTGTTTTATTTACTCGTAAACTTAATCATATTTAAGTTTAGTTAAATGCGAGTATTTCTTTTCCTACATAACTTTTGCTTTACATTATTTTTCACGTTTTATATTGTTAAAAATATTTTATTTTTTTATTAAACATTGTATCAGGGATATGGTTTTATCATACCTAATGTATCTTGAGATAACTATAGTTTTATTTATATCTAAATTCCATGTCAATACATTTTTGTTTATTTAATCTATTAATTTAAATTTCGATAGACGCATCAAAGCGTTCTTCAAGAACCTATTTGTCCTGGAGTTGTTGGTGGTAAATTAGATTTTCCAAGATTTGCATCTTTCGCAGCTATTAAAATGGTGTTATGGTAGATAAATATCTATTTGATTAAGTGAACATTGAATTACGTATTCTACATTTCAGGTGGGAAGATGAATATTATGCTTCATATCGAAAATATTCCGGTCTTTTGCATACAGAAAAAGAACTTGATAACCATGACCCTGTATGTAATCTAACTGTATAATATGTTAACATTTTTTAAATAAAAAATTTTCCTTTCCCTATTTAGACTTCCGTGACCGTTAAGAATTCTGATCCAGAAAAATTTGTGAGCCTGGTAACAAAATCTGCTGATTTACTGTTGGAACATTTACATGTCCTATCACAAGAATCATTGGATCATGCTGATTTATCAGTATTAACAGCTACGATTGGTGCATCGGCATTAATTAGAAATTGTTTGGACATATATTTGCAAGTATCTACAACTAAATATTGTCCGCCAAAGGGAGATGAGAAAGGTGGTGCATTAAAGGTGTTTATACCAAAATATTAAAGATATAAAATTTATTTATCTAATATATTTACTATTTAATATGTATTTACTAAACGAAGCTGACATTAAAGCAATACTCGCAAATGTCAGAAGCACTCGCAGAACGCTTATTGGATTTACACTGCCGCCTCTTGTTGCTTTATATTGTGCAAGATGCAGATTGTTTAAACTGGGAGGACACGGAACCATTTTTCGAATCGGAACGTGGCTCTTATACGGTGCAAATGTGGTGGCATTATATGCGGGGCACAAATGATGATTTATGGAATTCCGTGCCACCAAAAATGGCGCAACGCATATTTGCGGGCATGTTGAATGAAACTTTAAGTATCCTCACTATAAGGTATTCGCAAATTGTGACCAGTAATGCCAGAGCGCAATTGCATTTGGTAGACATAACAAATTTATTGTTTTGTGTTGCTGAATTATTACCACATATATGTGAAAGTGGTGAGGCTTATGTGGGTAAGTGCCTTATGTTTACCAGGGATATAATTTTGTTATAATTTTATATATTAATGTTTTAATCGACGAGATTAACCAGTATATAATTTGTAGGTTTTTGCGTGACGTAAAATTTGATTTTTATTTAATATGTAGTATTTTTTAAAATTTATATTATTTTTCTAGCTAAAATATTTTTACTTTAAATCATTTTTAAGTTTCATTTGTATTTGTAACCAATTGTTTGCATTGCACTTTAGCATTTTTTAAAATTACTGTAAGGAACGACAAAGTCACACTATCGCATAGTCAAAATATAGTAATCAAAATATAGTAAAATATAGTATAGTAGACAATATGTAATTAAGTCTTTCCAAAATCATTTTCTTATATCACTTCGTAGTTCAAAATTATCATTTCTAGTTCTTAAAAACAATAATTGCGTCAGATGCAATTATCGTTTTCTAACATAGAAGCAGCATTTTTAGCAATCAGTTTTGTTTAATTAACTATCGAATATATTAATTAATTATGACTTTTATAATAATTAACTATAATAAATATTAAATTATGGCAAATTTAATACTTTTTGATTTATTGTTTAGTGAACGAAAATGTAATTCAGGAAATGACTCGCAGGAAAATAAATTTGCTGTATAAAGTAAAACAAATTTTAATACAAGTTATTACTTGGATCTCCCGATATTATTACGATTAAAGCTTTAAACACTTTATATATATATGTAAAAGTAAATTCTTATATGTTATTTCCTTTTTTTTGTTGTATGTTTTACGTTTAGCAAAGTTCATTCCGCCTGAACAGTTATAACTTCTTAGATTGTTGAAGTAACATATTGTATGCGATCTGCTCTATAACTAGGAATAACTATTATACCCTATAAACATTTATGTGGTATTTGGTCCAAAAACCATTTTAATAATTTCAACTTATTCAACAGATAATTGTTTTCATGACAAACATTTTTGTAGACAAAATAATAGTAGACAATAGACAATAAGATAATAGACAATAATAGATAATAGACAAACTAATGAGTTGACATTTTGTTCTTGCATTTTAAAGGTAGGCATTAAGTCCTTATAACTATTCTTGTTCCAAAAGATTTGATGTAAAACTACTATTTTTAAATGACAACATATATAAGAACAGTTTGTAAAATATTTTTAGATATAGTTTTAGTTATAGTGATTTAATATTGGTGTAGTTCAGAAAGTTTATCTAGAGATATTAATTTGGGAAGATATCGTTCCACAGCACTACGTACAGAACTTTAAAGCATGAATGTACAAACAAATATTATTCATTTACGCATTTAGTATATTGGAGTGAGTGGTTTAATTATAGTTTTTATAATAATTAAAATTTCCTTTATTATGCCTCTTGTCGTAAACAACCCTCTTCAATTATTCTATTATGTTATTCAATAGTTCCATACACTCTTTCTTCATAACTTCTTAACGCATGATTTAGTTGGGTTCACTTGACAACTTTTCAAACTTTGGGTTTTAAAACGAATTTTACTTTTGGTTTAGGAATGTAGCTGCTCTTGATTCGCAACATCTCAAACATCTGGATTGTAGATGAATTTCACGTTAATAAGGTGTTTCAACTGTTAATTTAAGACTATTCAAATGTAAAAGTTTAAGATAAATTTCGCATGTTTTGTGTGATTAAACAGTTTATTTTAACGACTTTTCAAATATTGGAATTAAAAACAAATTTCATATTTATTATGTGATTTAGCTACTTTTGATCCATGACTACTCAAATCTTAAGATTTAAAACATATTTTACGTTGTTCATTCGCCACTCTGCGTGTTTATTTTTTTGGTAAAATTAATGTTTAATAATGACGGTAACAGCTGATTTTAACTCTAGATCATATGAATGGAGAGTACCATACACATTGAAATATTTGTAATTGTTTCCATTTCTGTTTTCATTAAATGAAATTTGTTAATAATTTGCTTATTAAATACTTTTTGAAGGGATTTTTAAAGGATAATTATAAAAATCAAATGTTTAAATAATGATAGTAACAGCTGAAATCAACCCTCGATCGTATGTATGAAGATTACCACATTATTATTGTTAGGGGATGTGGCACTGCGACTGTCGGATCTATTGTGAGATTACCACATACTCTACTATTTAATTATTCTCAATTGTTTCCATTTCTTGATTTTTTAAATTTGAAATATACAAATAAAAGAAATTTTTCCGAAAAGAAAATATTCTCAATTTTATGAACGAAAAAACTTGATATCAACGAAGAAAAGATTATTGCATTAGTATTGAAATGGATGCCTAAAATACCTCTGAGTAGTGACGCTCAAAAGTAAGAGTGTAAGTGATTGAGGATTAATTAAAGAAATTGAAGGAATTAAAAAGTAATTTTTCTACTTTATTATTAATTTTACTAAAAATATGAATTGAATAGAATTAGCTGAAAGTTTAAATTTACATATATCAAATTAAATAAAGTTTTCTTAAATTATTGATTTTTATAAATAATCCATTTTTCCATTTTCCATTTTTGCTATTATATTCGGGTTTCTGGTTCAATATTTGAGATATATACATGTGTATATTGTTACCTTTATTATAACAAATATATATTTTAAGTTTAGTTTAAATCTATCTTGGTTCTTAGGAAGTTATTTGGGATTGTTATATTCTGGTTTGTGGTTTGATATTTGAGATAAAGACATGTGTATATTGTGATCTGTATTATAACAAATATATATGCCAAGTTTGATCCAAATCTAACTTGGTTTTTATGAAGTCATTTAGGATTGTTATATTCTGTTTTCTGGTTTAATATTTGAGATAAATAGATGTGTATATTATAACAACCTGTATAATAACAACTATATATGCCAAGTTTGATCCAAATCTATCTTGGTTTTTATAAAGTTATTTCTTTATAACTTTTTCTTGTTTATTTTCGAAACATATAAACCTTCTATATCTGAATTGAAATTTAGGATTAAACTAAACATACAGGTATATTGTGAATCTATATAATAACACACACAGGGACCAAGTTGGTTCATATCCGTTAAAGCATTAAATAATCTATTTGCAAGTAAAGTAATAAAAAAACAAAAACTGTAATTCACTTAAATCTAAACTCGTAGAGTGAAAATATTTCAATAATTTTAAATAGGTAAATAATCAAATTTAGAAATGTATAGTTTATAAATAAATATAAAGAATTCATTACAATTCTTTATAATATATGCTGCAATTCATATATGGAATTTAATTTTTCAGCTTCGTTTAATACGTTTTAATATTGCTGCATTCCTGCTGCTCTTTCTAACCCACAATATTTGCCCTTAAATTATTTATACAAAAATACATAATTCATAAACAGTCTTTGCGTTTTCTAAGCACAACGCATAGAATGGTTTTTATAGCAATTCATGTAATGCCAAACTACACCAAACATTTTCCAGCAGACTTTAAGCCATCAACGGAGAGATTATGAGTAAATTGCATCTAATTAACATTAATTTAAATTTTATGTATGAAAGGACTTCAGTTAACAAACCAAAGTGTCATCATCCGTGATATACATGCGAAATGTAGAGAACTTTTTTACTGCCTGCTTCTACGCGGTGCGCCACTTGGAGTGCTCTCAAAGGTTTGTATATAGAATGAAAGTTATTTATTTCTCATAATTCCCCTTTTTGAATAATTTTTTACATAAAGATACGAATTGAAACATTTTATAATATTAAAATAACATTTTTTTAACATAAACCAACTAAAACTTTTTCAAAAGCATACGAATTTAGTTTATTAAATGCAATATTTTGTGTTTATGTTCACTTTTGAAGTTAAAGTTTTTATTAAATTTATTGATATCTTGAAGGAAAGAAGGTTAAGCACAATTACTTCCCTATTAACTTGAAATTCGGAAGTATAATATTTATTTAGAAAAATAATATTTAGGTACCCACTTTAAAAGTAATAACTAGAAAAAGTAAAAAATAGTTTTGTTACAGTATCAGGTATTTCTATATTAAATAGACGGTTTATTTTATTCTATAGTTTAAATTTAAATTGTGAGTTTATTTGAGTTAGGTTTCTGATTATAACGGAGCTAGGTGTTCTTTTTCTTAGGTACCAGAAAAAAAACTATGTAAAACTTTTAGTTCTACACTCTCATTATTTTAATAACCTTGTAATACGTAATAAAGTTAGGTTAGGTTATGCTGACGGAGTAAAAAGGCTATGCGTAGACTATTAAGATCCATTGCGATACCTGATCAGAGTATTAATTTTTTTTTTTAGCGAGAGTGTGCATTGTTTAGTATGCGCGTGTTATTATTGAATTTTATTAGGATTTCAGCAGAAACCTTAGGTATGTGCTCTAGTCCGGTAAAACTGATAGCCCCAAGCTATTTTTGTCGAGTTCTCAAGAGAGCCGGGCATTTGCTCAGCCAATGTTCCAGGGTTTTTTTTGTATCCGGCTCATTGCATTTCCTACAAGCATCGTTGTAAATTAGGTTTAGTTTATGCATATGTGATGCGATTACACAGTGCCCTCTCAATACATATCTCCGGAATATATGATCGGGATCATATAATCCAAATCGAGAGTAGCGTTCTGATTTACAACGCTATGCAAATATTACAAAGTTATTACATATATTATTTTTTCTATGTATCTAATATATGTATCTTTTATGCATCTATTTTAACCTTCCATCGAATATTTCTACAGCTGGATTAAAACAAAATGGCTCAAAAGTCAAAAACTCAATTTCAATGTGTGTCTACCCAACAATATTTTAGACAGAAATAAATGCTATCGTAATGTCTTCTCGCGATCAATTACATATTATTAGATTTTAAAACAGATCAGATTATTAGATTTTGGGACCCCTTCAGGCTGGAACGATTAACTCAAAATATTATACTTAAATAATTGCACAAGTTCAAAATGATTTTAATACATTAAGGAATATTAATACTATAGTATCAGAATGCGTCCAATGACATGAAGATAGCAAACGAGCTATCTTGTATTTAGGCAATGTAGGCAAACATGCTCTTGATAGTTTTTGTTTTCTATGGACTTACAAAAAGTCAGAAGTGAAGTAGAAGTAGAGAAAATCTGCAGACGACAGGTATAACAATTTTATATTTCAGCGTGGGTAATATTAGCTCACTTTCGTTAATCAGGCTAGTCTTACGAATTAATTTACAGTATAAGTCACTGCATTCTATGATATCACTTATATTCGTTGAGCCTTTCTGACACTGATGACTTTGTGAATATCCAGTTCTTATCAGAAAAAGGTTTTACAACTTAAGTTGTATTGTTATGTCTCCATATAAATAATAAACAGTGAACTGAGTAAATATTTTTAAGAAAGATTCAATATACAAGCTAAAGATCAATATTGTGCACAAAAGATGTGTTCGGTTTAAAAGATTTATTCTAATAATTATATCAAAGATAAACGATTTCAATATTTCAGGATATAATCTATTATATTAGTTATATTATATTTTTCTAAGTTTTTATTTTTAACAAAAATAGAGCATAGTTTAGGGCCTCATTATAACTTCACGTATTGAACTGATTGCTCACAATGTTTCTGATAGCACGTCGTATGCTGACTATTGGTATAAAATTTTATTTCTTTCTATTTTTTAATGTCTTAAATATTCCACTATATACTATTTCATGTATATACTTGTAGGTATTACAGTTCGAGAAACATTAGTGCTTATTATTTGGTATAAAACTTAATTCAAAAATATGCTTTAATAGGTTTTCCGTAAGGGTCTAGAAAATATGGAAATGTTTTCTTCACGGCAAGGTTTACCAAGTGCTTGGATAATCTTTGCTTTACCACGATTTTTTCCGAAAGATCAATCATGTCAATGGGTATCAGACTTTTCGGACTTAAATACCAATACCGCAATTTCTCTGGAATTAAAAGTGCTACTTTCTTTTCCTGAAGCAGATTGGTCATTTTTAGTAAAGGTAAAGTCAATCAGAAATTAATTATAAACAACGCAGCTAATGTTTGTAAATTAAAGGTTTTATTAATGCGGGATGCAAATTTAACAGGAATTATTTTACGGCATTTATTAAAATATCTGCCAGCATCAGAAAATTTTAAAAATGTAGCTAAACATTCTTTTACTGAGCATGGAAGTGAACCGCAAAAATGTAAGGCATTTTTATGCCGTAGTGAATGTTTTAATGTATCTGATCTGATTGGTGATGATTTGGGTATATCTATTCATTTATATAAAACAAAATTATATATTTTATAATAAATAATATAACGTTTAGATCCAGTCGGTCAATCGAACTATCAAATTGTTTTATCGTTAACATATATATTGATCGCAGTGGGTAAGGCTCTTGATATAAAAGCTTGTCTAGTTAAGGTATTGGAAGAAATTGCTTCAAGTGGTTGGAGTGACTGCTTAGATAAACGTCAAGTATTAAAACATCATAAAGCACATAATACAATTTTTATGAAAACTAAATATTTAACTGATTTTAGGTTTGGAATCAAAAGCGTCCACCTTGGTTAGAAGCTATTATGCATTTTGTATATCCGGTATTGGACTGTGTAGTTGATATGTTAATAAATGCCGTTGAAGCAGGTGCAAGCATGTATCAGGCAATGTCTTTAGCACTTACTTGTGTTTCCGAAATGTGGGACTGTATACCAGAGGGTCTTTACAAAATCACATCATTATTACAAGATATAATACCAGTTTCTACAAAACCACTAGGTAAGTGTGATATAATTACTGCTTGCATTTACTTTTTCGACTATTAGGAAAATATACAATAATTTTAGGTGATTCTGTGTTATTACAATCAGTATTTGCTGCTTTGTATACAGAGCTTATCAAATCTGCAGAATCATATGAAAAGGGTATGCAATATCTTTCATTTATAAACTGGTCAAAGTATTAATTTATTTCCTTTTGATAATAGAGAAAAACGATGCAAAATCATCGATTTGTTACTCACTTTCTGAAGCTATTTGTTCT